ATAAGACATAAAATATATAATTTATTTTCATTTTTGTTAAATTTGATACACAATAAGACAAAATATATAATTTATTTTCATGTTTTGTTAAATTTGATACACAATAAGCCATAAAATATTTAATTTATTTACATTTTTGTTAAATTTAAAACACAATAAGCCATAAAATATATAATTTATTTTCATTTTTTGTTAAATTTGATACACAATAAGCCATAAAATAAGTGATTTATTTACATTTTTGTACAATTGTATTCACAATAAACCAAATATATATATATATATATATATGTTTTACATTTTTGTCCAATTTTATTCAAAATAACCCATACAATATATTATTTATTTACAGTTTTTCATCCAATTTCATTCACAATAAATTGTGAAATGTATTTACATTTTTTGTCCAATTTCATTCACAATAAACCATAAAATATATTTACATTTTGTGTCCAAAATTGGTACACAATAAGCTTTAAAATATATAATGGATTTACAGTTTGTCAAATTTTATTCACAATAAACCACAATAAATACAATAAATTGAATTAGTTTTGTGTCAAATTTGATATACAAATAAAGCATAAAAATACATATTTTCTTCAAAACTGTTAAAATATCATTGTTGCCGCCACTCAAATTTCTGTTCTTGTGCATGTTATTTTAATCTAAAACCAGAAAATATATTATTGATTTCGTTTTTTGTCCAATTTGATCCAGAATAAACCATAAAATATGTAATTTATTTAGTTTTTTGTCTAATTTTATTCACAAAACACTGTTCTTAATGTTTTTAATAAAACTTTGTATGTATTTCGTAATTTAAGCAAAGGTGTGTGATTCAGTAAAACATCTTCACCTCTTGACTGTATAAACGAGGCTCACTCAAAATCAAGTTGACACGTACTGTAAATATATTTGTGCCATATTTGAGTAGTCGATGGTCAAAGCTCACGCTGATTTTGTCCCCATATAGACTGTATGAAAGTGCGGATGAAAACCCGGCGGCGTCGACGCTGGAGGCCGGAGGTTTATCCTACGCAGAAACTGTTTCCACGAACACCAATCAGCACTCGAGTTCCCTCACGGGTACGTCCAATAGGAGGATGCGACCCTGGACCAAAAAAACAGTCACATGTCCCATATTTGTGGCAATAGCTGGCGTCAAAATTATTGGTCAAAATTATTATGAGTTTTAGTTTTATGCCAAAAATCATTAGGATATTAAGTAAAGATACGGAAGAGGATTAGGGCCAAGCAATGATAAAAAAATAAAACCATCTCGAGATTAAAGTCATTATAATGCAAAACTAAACTCAAGAAAAAAGTCGAAATAATCTTGAGAATAAACTCATTAAATTTCGAGAATAAGCACAATGACTTTATTCTCGACATTTAATGAGTTTATTCTCAAGATTGTATTTCGAGTTTTTTCTCCAAATTTAACAAGTTTTTTCTTCAAACACAACGACTTTATTCTCGATATTTAATGAGTTTATTCTCAAGATTGTATTTTGAGTTTTTTTTTCTAGAAATTTAACAATTTTTTTCTCAAAACACAACGACTTTATTCTCGATATTTAATGAGTTTATTCTCAAGATTGCATTTAGAGTTTTTTTTCTTGAAATTTAACGAGTTCTTTCTTCAAACACAACGACTTTATTCTCGATATTTAAAGAGTTTATTCTCAAGATTGTATTTCGAGTTTTTTTTCTCGAAATTTAACAAATTTTTTCTCGAAACACAACGACTTTATTCTCGATATTTAATGAGTTTATTCTCAAAATTGTATTTCCAGTTTTTTTTTTCTTGAAATTTAATACGTTTTTTTCTCGAAACACGACTTTATTCTCGATATTTAATGACTATTCTCACGATTGTATTTTGAGTTTTTTCACTCAAAATTTAATGAGTTTCTTCTCGAAATACAACGAATTCTTTCTGGAAATTTGATGAGTTTATTCTCAATATCTCAATATAATATTTGAGTTTTTTTCTCAAAGTTTAACAAGTTTTTTTCTCAACACAATGACTTTATTCTCGATATTTAATGAGTTTATTCTCAAGATTGTATTTAAATTTTTTTTTAAATTTCTCTTGAAATTTAACGAGTTTAATTTTGCATTATAATGACTTTAATTTCGAGATGGTTTTATTTTTTTATTTTTGCTTGGCCCTAATCCTCTTCCGTAGATCATCTTCCATGAAGATATTTTGTGAATTTATTTTTGTACATTTTTATATTTATTAAAAAATTATTTTTGTCAGTGCATTCAGCAAAATCGCAAACATAAATACAAACTTTAAAGGCAATTTTCTCAATATTTCTATTTTTTTTGTACCATCAGATTCCAGTTTTTTGTAGTTGTATCTCGACCAAATATTGTCCTATCCTAACAAACCAAACATCAATGTAAAGCTTATTTATTAAGCTTCCATATGATATATATGTCTCAATGTCTAAAAATGGACCCTTATGACTGGTTTTGTGGTCCAGGGTCACATGTATCAAACGTCTGGTTCTCACAGCACTTCCTGAAGACTGACCGATAAATGATGATCCACTTTTCTTCCAGGCTACTCTGAGGATGGAGGAGTGAAGACAGGAGAACTGATCCCAGATCACGAGTTTGCCGATGAATCGCTCCGTCTGGATGATGAGCAGGAGTTTCCTCCGGTTAGCTTTCAGGACACCTGAAGGATCCAGATCATTCATAAACATCATATCTCTTGATATGGTTGATATAAATAAGAAACATGAGTAGGCTAATAAACAGCATCATTGTTTCCAGATCAGGCTAACCTTATACAAGTACAATCACATTTTAACTTGAGCAAATGTGTGTATTATGCATTTGCCGACTCAAACTACAATGGTGCAAAAGTTCATTTATTTCAGTAATTCAACATAAAAGGTGAAACTAATATATTATATAGACTCATTACATGCAAAGTGAGATATTTCAAGCCTGTATGTTATAATTTTGATGATTAACCCCAAATTCAAAATTAGAATATTGTGAAAAGGTTTTCATATCTGTAATCCATAATCATCAACAATATAACAAATAAAGGCTTGAAATATCTCACTTTGCATGTAATGAGTCTATATAATATAGTATATTAGTTTCACCTTAAGTTGAATTACTGAAACAAATGAACTTTTCCACCATATTCTAATTTTTCGAGTTTCACCTGTAGCTGATTAAAATATTATTATGATATTAATATTAATAGATTAATATTAATATATTATGATGAAGAACAATCATTTTCACCTTGTTAGTGAAGGCAGAACTGATGATGTCACTTGAAAGTCAGATTTTGAAATGTATTGTTTAAAATGTGTGTATAAAAGCAATTTACCTACAGTATTATCACATCTCTAATAAAAGATGTATTAAATAAAGCTTGTCAATGCATTAAGTTGACAGATTACATTAGAGTTTATTGTTTATATTTTCATTATGATTTCATACAATACGCAACAAATCATATCTTTGTCACTCTCGGTCTGTTTAGTCAATTTTACACTAATAAAATAAAGCTGCCAGAATGAAAAGTAACTGTGTGTTTGTGTTTAAGAGGATGTGATGAACATATAGAAATTAAACACAAGGGTTGCAAAGGTTATGTAATATTGAATAATACTATTTATTATAAAGATATGCCGCAGTTTCATTGACTGAAGTAAACAGTAGTTTAGATCAATGCAACTATAAAACAAGTGATGAAACAACAGTATTTTGTTGTGAAAATAAATCATAATTATGACATACAAAGTCGTTCAGTAATTATGACTTAAAAATATAAAGTCATAATCATAGTCATAATAATGAGAAAAGTCAAAATGATGAGATAATTTTTTTTTATTAAGTATTATAGAAATTATAATAAACATTTATAATTGTGACACTAGGTCATTCAGTGATTGTGACATGAAATAAAAGGTATTTATGTGGAAATAAACAATGAGAAAAAGTCAAAATTATGAGATAAAAAGTTAAAATTATGACCATCTCTGTCATAATTATGACACTTAAGTCGTTCAGTAATTATGACAAAAATGTATTATGACATACTAAGTCATTCAGTGATTGTGACAAAAAGTTAAATATATGAAATACACATTTTAACTTGACTCATAATTTTCATAATCACAGTCATAAAATTATCACGAAATTATGATAGAAAAAATGTGAAATTATGACTTTTTGTCATGTATGCTAATTATTATATTAAGGTCATAATTTTGACTTCATGTCATAATTATGACATTTTAATAACAGATTTGTGGCTATTTAAATAGTAATTTTGACTTAGCATGTCATAATGTTGACTTTTAGACTAATTTCTTAATTTTGACTTAGTATGCCATTTCATTCTTTCGACTTTTATATCATTATTATGATGACCAAAATCATATTTTTCTGATTTGTGGCAGAAATGGCCTTCCACACATCCGTGTATTTATCACGTTTAATTTTTGTAATTAATACGTTTATGTGAAAGTCAAGTGAAGTGGTGAAAATTACAGTTTTTTTTTTTATTAAGAACAATCTTAGTACAGACATTTAACATAGAAATTACAAAGTCTTTCATACTAAGGGGTATTGTAAACTTATATGAAGATATTATAACATTTGCATATTTTCAATGTTTTAATTGCTTTTTGCTTCAAAGAAAATCAGAGTGAATCAATATAAAGCTCAATTTCTTTCCTAAATAAAATAAAATTAGTTTTTTTACAGGAGAATTTATGAACACACAGGCATTTATGAACATACAATTTTGCCATTAAAAGAATGGAATTAATTAAATAATTCCGATTGTGCTTTAATTCTACTGTTCTCCCAAATATCAAATAAAATATGTTTCCAAAACAACATAAATTGGTCATCAATGTTTTTTGTGATATTATTGGACAATGGTGAAAATTACAGTACACTACTGTAGGGCGGGATTTGTGACGCGGCCAGCGAGTCGCGGCCGCAGTGCATGCTGGGATAGTGGAGAGCGCACACGGCTCCTCCCCACGTGTTTGTTTGACTGACTGTCTGACTGCAGTGATCAGAAACATGGCAGTAGAAACAACGACACACATACACAGCTAAACGAGCTTTGAGTTCACAGCACGAGCAGCCACTGAATCACAGGTCAGATCTCAACTTTACCGTCAGTGTTTTGTTGGTTTAGTGGATCAGCCGAGGCCTCGGTGTGTGTGTGATTGTGTGTGTGTGCTGGCAGTGATAATGTAGAAGCTATCAAAAGTTTCATACTCACAAACAGCATGTATATAAGCACACACAGACTGCAGTTGTTGTGGTATTCTCCGTGATCTGTGTGTCGTGATGTTGAAGAGCTGCTAACGCATGCTAGCATGTTGATCGTTTGCTGACTCCGGCACTTTCCCTTTACATGGATTGTTTTTTCACCTTTTTACTTTTAATTTAATGTAACGTTACCTTTCGTGTATGCTGCTAAAGTTATTGGCCGTCATTATCGTGTTGCTCGCCCTTGCGTCATTCACTAAACCGTTGCCTGCTAATTATTATCATGACTAACAGTGATTGATTGATTGACAGTTACAAATGAGTAGATTACATAAGCCTGGCTATATATATATATATTGAAGAGTTCAGATGCAAAAGCCTCTAAATGCCATTTGAAATTTTCTTCTTTAATGATGATTTTTATCAAACTTGTATATTTAAGTTCAGTAATTTCACTTAAATAACAATTAATAGGTAATTATCATTGCCATTTAAGTGAAATTACTGAACTTAAATATACAAGTTTGATAAAAAATCATCATTAAAGAAGAAAATTTTAAATGGCATTTAGAGGCTTTTGCATCTGTACTCTTCAATGTAGTTATCGGCCGATAAGATAATTTGTCCGATATATTAAAGCTGATAAATGTATTAATTCCTTCAGCTGAGACACTTCAGATGCGCACTGTTCAACATTATAGTTTTGAATTGTTTGAAATATGATTAGAATCACTAAAAAAAAAAAATAAAGAAAATTCAGTAAAGTGCAATGTGTGCAGCGCAAATCTGTCATCCAGTCTATATAATTATAATGAGAACTTCATTAAAATTGTGTTTGTGACTTGGCTTCAATGGTGAGACTTTTGTTTTTGTAATCAGGCCCTCAAAAATTCTATAAACATCTACATTTATTGGCCACTATATATCAGTAATCCTGTTTTAAATATAATTACCGGTATCGGCCAAAATATTCATAACGATGCATGAAATATATATAAGTGTATCTTAAAATAAAAGGTTATATTTATAGTCTATATGACATAGCTATTACATATAATTATTTATCTATAAGTGTATTTATGTATAATAATGCACGTGACTGACTATGATTATACATATATATTTATTACCACAATATATGGGTCAAAACACAATAGTGGTCTTGGGTTGTTGGAAACATAGACAATAGAGCCCGACCGATAAAGGATTTTGAAGGCCGATACAAATATTTGTTGGTTTTAATTAAATCCGATATATCAGCCGATATTATTATTATTTTTTTTATTTCAAAAACGTGCAACAAAATATCAACAGATTTCCCTAACATTAGTTATTTGTAGTTATTTATGAGTTTTAACTAAAATAATATGATAATGCATTTTAAAAAGAAACTTGTTTCAATTGCCACAACAGTACAGAGGAACATCAAAATATATTAAAGTTCTGATAAATATAATAATAATTAGTTCCGACATTGCCTTATATATTTAAGAAAATGCCTAATATCGGCCTGCCAATATATCGGTCCGGCTCTAATAGACAATTTAATTTGCAATAAGCTGAGACCCAGTATTGTGTTTTGATCCATATGTTCACTAGCACATGTTTTGGTGTTTCTTGTTTCCAGGTTTGGAGTGTTCCAGCACCAGTGTCTTCATCATGGCCAGCGGAGACGATGACGATCCTATTATACAAGAGGTGCATATGGACATGTTGAACCGAACGTCTCCAGGATGATCAAACTGCAGCGTCACTGTTGTGCATCTATCATCATCTCTCTCTCTCTCTCTCTCTCTCTCTCAATTCAATTCAAAATGGCACATCATACAATATTGCTAAAGCATGGAAAACATAGAATAATTAGAAAGACATAAAAATAGTAAAATATTATTACATAAAAATGTTCAAATTAAATTAATTGTACAAATTAAGTGTAAAAAAATAGAACAGTTTATAAACATTTTAAAAAATTCGGTGAAGAATTTATAGTTCAGTGTGTAAGGCAAGGCAAGTTTATTTATATAGCACATTTTAAACACAATGGCAATTCAAAGTGCTTTACATAGAAGAAATTAAAATAATCAAAAGAAATCAGAATAATTAAAACAGTTTAGAATAAAAAATAAGAAATAATGAAAAATTAAAAATTATGATAAAAGTAAAATACAGTAAATTAAAACCATTTAAAAATAAAATAATAATAATAATAAATGTGTAAGTGTTTTCGAGTTTGGTGCCCGAGTGTGTACTTGCTATAATTTAAATATAAATAAGTCAAAATATCAAAGAAATGTGTTTAATGTGATCTGTGTTCTCTCTCTCGTTAGATTGATGTGTACCTGGCCAGAAGTCTTGTGGAGAAGCTGTATTTGTTCCAGGTAAGAATTCAAGATGTAATATTGGGTCAGTGATGCGTCTCGAATGTTTATCATTTGCACGTGTTTTTAAGCACGCACCCAGAAAGCCGCTTCTCAGACTGAATTGAAGTCTCTTTCACGTCGTCTTGAGCTTAAACGAACATATTCACACAAAATGACATCAAATATGCCGGTCCTAGTAAACATAAGCTGTGTTTCCTTTATAGATTTGCAAATGATATTTTGTAAATGTAGATAAAAGACTATTGCGATATAATGGCGTTTCATTAACCGCTGTTATGTGACTAAAACGTCAGTTTTTCCCCTCTCGTGATAAGTCTTTCCAAAAATCATGGCCGTGGATGTTGGTATGTTTATGTATATCGCCATTATGTTCAATGAAAGGAGATGTAGGTGTGTTTTCCAAGCATTAATGACATGTGTGCGGCACATATGAGGAGTTTCCCTCATTTCTGCTTCAAGGTCTTCATAAATTGTGGCATTTCTTTGTTTAATATTCCCATAATTCATTTGTCTTTTATGAGTTTAATATATAAATCTCTCTCATCTTCTGTCCATACTTCTTTAAACAATAATCATCTGTTAGGTATGTCGGGTGAAAAAACTGTTTTTATTGCAGTTTTGCAAAATATTCCTTTCTCGAAGTGCCTGGAAAACTGTCTCTTAGAAGAGTAAAAATGTGTTTCCATTGGGCATGTTTATAATACACAGTTTTTTATTTACACAATTTGAAGGCTAATGGAAACGCTGAAGTGAACAGCTGAGGAATAAAATGCATGTGTGGCAGTATATTGGATCCGTGCAGCTCTTAAAGTGACGGCAGCCTAATAAACCTGCTGTGCTTTTTTGTTTTAATGTTAATCAAACAACAAAGGACAAAGAAAAACACTCTGCTTTTGAGTGAATTACTTTAATAAGGGTTAAAATATTTTAAAAATATTATCAATATTTTAAAAATATTAAAAATATGATTAAAAATATTTAATTTACACAGTGATGAGTGTGCAGTGCTATTTTACGTCTTCTCTTCCTGAAAATTACTGTTAGAATTACTTGAAAAGCAGTGTTTACTTTATTTGTACGTTTGTTCTGTTGTATTTGTGCTTTTCCTTGTAATTTGATTACCTGTATTTGTTTTTATTTTATTACTAACAGTTGTCTTGAACAATATTTGAAATTGATGTGAGTTAGGCTTTTTTTATTTGTTAAGGTTATGGGTTATTATTAAGGTTGATAAGACTCAGCAAGACTGCATTATTACAGTAATATTGTGAAATATTATTATAATGTAAATCATCTGTTTTCTATGTGAATATATAGAAAAATGTAATTTATTCCTGTGATCAAAGCTGAATTTTCAGCATCATTACTCCGGTCTTCAGTGTCGCATGATCCTTCACAAATCACTCACAGATCAAGAAACATTTATGATTATTATCAGTGGTTAAAACTATTCATATTTTTGTGGAAACTGTGATAAATTTTATTTCTCAGGATTCTTTGATGAATAGAAAGTTCAAAAGAACAGCATTTATTTGAAATATAATCCTTTGTAACATTATAAATGACTTTACTGACACTTATGATTAATTTAATGCCTCTTTTTGTTCAATAACTTATTTTGCAGAAAGTGTTTGTTCATCATAAAATGTGTGTTGGTCTATCACTAGTAACACAACTTATTTTTCATTGGTTCTTATATCTGTTTTTAACTGTTTCTGCTTCTAGTACCCAGTGCGTCCTGCAACTATGAGCTACGATAACGCCACTCATTTGACAGCCAGGATTAAACCCAAGCAGCAGAAAGTAAGCTGGTCTCCACTCCTCGTTTCTCAAGTCAGTCCTGCTCAGGCCTCCTGTTAAAGCTCAGATCTCCTCCTCTTCTTCTCTCGCTGGTCCAGGTGGAGCTCGAGGTGGCGATGGACACCATGAGCCCGAACTACTGTCGCAGTAAAGGAGAACAGATCGCACTTAATGTGGACGGCACCACCTCTGAGGACACCAACGTCTACTCAACGTGAGGAACATCACTCACTCACTCACTGACTCACTCACTCACATACTGACTCACTCACTCACTCATTCACTCACTCACTGACTCACTCACTGACTCACTCATTCACTCACTCACACTCACTGACTGACTGACTGACTGACTCACTCACACACATACTGACTCACTCACTCACTGACTCACTCACTGACTCACTCATTCACTCACTCACACTCACTGACTGACTGACTCACTGACTCACTCACTCACATACTGACTCACTCACTCACTCATTCACTCACTCACTGACTCACTCACTGACTCACTCATTCACTCACTCACTCACACTCACTGACTGACTGACTCACTGACTCACTCACTCACATACTGACTCACTCACTCACTCATTCACTCACTCACTGACTCACTCACTGACTCACTCATTCACTCACTCACTCACTCACACTCACTGACTGACTGACTGACTGACTCACTCACACACATACACTCTCACTCACTCACTCACTGACTCACTCACTCACATACTGACTCACTCACTCACTCACTCACTGACTCACTCATTCACTCACTCACTGACTCACTCACTGACTCACTCATTCACTCACTCACTCACACTCACTGACTGACTCACTCACACACACACTCACTCACTCACTCACTGACTCACTCACTCACTCACTGACTGACTGACTGACTCACTCACTCATTCATTCACTCACTCACACACTCACTCACTCACTGACTGACTGACTCACTCATTCACTCACTCACTGACTGACTCACTCACTCATTCACTCACTCACTGACTCACTCACTGACTCACTCACTCACTCACTGACTCACTCACACACTCACTCACTCACTGACTCACTCATTCACTCACTCACTCACTCACTCACTGACTGACTGACTCACACACTGGGTGCTTCTCAATATCCCTCCTCGTCTCCTCGCTCCTCCGTCCTCCCTCCTATGACCCGGAAACCGATCGAGCTCAGCCATCTTGAAGGACATCTCAATTCTCTAATTGCACCGTGAGGAGTCGAGGATCGAGGAGATAGGAGGCTTCCTGAGGAGTCATAAGCGAGGATACACAGGAGCATCCTACGCGGAACTGTTATATTGACTAAACGTGACGCACGTGTCAATTCTCCTCCCCCTTCACATCGGTCACAATCATTTTAATTTATACTTTACCTTTGCAGTTTATATAAACCACACATCTCTGATATTTCAACAGTATAGCCTATCTTTATTATTATTTATTATTAATTTATTAAATAACCAAACTTTAACAACATAAGGGCAGATCCTTTTAGCGCTGCTGATGACACTGTGGAGTGACGCTCGAGTCATCAAGTACTCCAATGTATATAAAAAAGCTTTTATTCGATTCCTCTGTCCTCCTTTCCTTTCCTCGCTTCCTCCCCTCGCGTCCTACAGGGGGTGGAGCTGAGACGCAAGGAAAGGAAGCAAGGAAAGGAAACGAGGAAGCACAAATAAGAAATGAGAAGCACCCACTCACTCACTCACTCATTCACTCACTCACTCACTCACACTCACTGACTGACTGACTGACTCACTCATTCACTCACTCACTGACTCACTCACTGACTCACTCACTCACTGACTGACTCACTCACTCACTCATTCACTCACACACTCACTCACTCACTAACTGACTGACTGACTCACTCACTCACTCACTGACTCGCTCACTCACTCACTCACTCACTCACTCACTCACTGGCTGACTGACTGACTCATTCACTCACTCACAGACTCACTCACTCACTGACTCACTCACAGACTCACTCACTCACTCACTGACTCACTCACTCACAGACTCACTCACTCACTCACTGACTCACTCACTCACTGACTCACTCACTGACTCATTCACTCACTCACTCACTCACTCACAGACTCACTCACTCACTCACTGACTGACTCACTCACTCACTCACTCACTGACTCACTCACTCACTGACTGACTGACTCATTCACTCACTCACTGACTCATTCACTCACTCACAGACTCACTCACTCACTCACTCACTCACTGACTCACTCACTCACTGACTCACTCACTCATTCACTCACTCACTGACTCACTCACTCACTGACTCACTCACTCATTCACTCACTCACTGACTGACTCACTCACTCTCTCACTCACTCACTCACACACTCACTCATTCACTCACTCACACACTCACTGACTCACTCACTCACTCACTCACTGACTCACTCACTCACTCACTCACTGACTCACTCACTCATTCACTCACTCACTGACTGACTCACTCACTCACTCACTGACTGACTCACTCACTCACTCACTGACTCACTCACTCATTCACTCACTCACTGACTGACTCACTCACTCTCTCACTCACTGACTCACTCACTCACACACACACTCATTCACTCACTCACACACTCACTGACTCACTCACTCACACACTCACTGACTCACTCACTCACTCACTCACTCACTGACTCACTCATTCACTCACTCACTGACTGACTCACTGACTCACTCACTCATTCACTCACTCACTGACTGACTCACTCACTCTCTCACTCACTGACTCACTCACTCACACACACACACTCATTCACTCACTCATTCACTCACTCACTCACTCACTGACTCACTCACTCACTCACTGACTGACTCACTCACTCTCTCACTCACTGACTCACTCACTCACACACACACTCATTCACTCACTCACTGACTGACTCACTCACTCTCTCACTCACTGACTCACTCACTCACACACACACACACTCATTCACTCACTCACTCACTCACTCACTCACACACTCACTGACTCACTCACTCATTCACTCACTCACACATTTCAATCTTTGGTGTTATAAGTTTGAATGTTCTCCTTGTGTTTAAAGGAAAATGATGGACAAGCAAGCGTTCTCCTCGATCCAGGCGACCACGAACACGTCCCGCTACGCCGCAGCCGTGTTTCACAAAGGTAATGTATCATGTGGAGAGGACAAACTCTGGGCTCCCCCGGACACTGCTGTTATTACAGTACTCAAGCTTTGCGCCGGTTTCGCAGGAAGTGAACCTTTTGAAAGCAATCTGTGCTTAATTCGCAAATGATAAATGCAATATTACATTTTTTTTTAAATGTGCAACTTTGTAAGAAATTCAGAAATAACTTTCAAACACTTTGACATTTCTGCCACATGTTTTGGTAAATCATAATTATGACAAACTCTAACTCTAAGCCAGTGATTGTGACAAAGTTATGTCAAAATATATATAATTAAAATTTAAACCTCACACTCAAGATTTTGACTCTTTATGTCATTATTTTGACTAGAAATTATGACTTAAGTCATGATTATGAGATTAAAAAGTTGAAATTATCACTGTCATAATTGTAATTTTTTATTTGTCATAATTATTACTTTTAAATCATAATTTTGATTTAATGTCATAATTTCGACTTTAATGTCTTAATTATGATTTAGTATGGCATACTTTTGACTTTGTCTCATAAACATGATTAGTATAGCATTCCTTTTACTTTTGTAATAAGTATGTCAAAAAGCATGATTTTTTTTTGTTCATATAATGTGGCAGAAATGGCGTTGGACATGCATCACTATTGATTTTTGTATTTTATAATTTTCAGTGAAAGTGGAGTGGTGAAAAAGACATTATAAACCGTTTTGAATAAAACGAATTAGTTTAAAAAAAATCCTTTTACAAAATTTGCAACTTTGTAATGGGAAAAGGCTATTTTCATAATTCATAAATCACTAAAGACTGTTTCTTTCCTCCTGAAATCACTGAAACATGCAAATGCATACAGACTTTATAATTGCACAGACAGCATCTTGTTACAGTTGTTATGACCAGAATAAATGGATAAATATGATTGGCTGTAGCTCATGACATCACTGAGGTTGAGTTCTGCGAAAACTCTGCATATCTAGCATGCTTTATATTTTTGTAGGCTCGGTGACGCGTCTGTGAGCGTCTTTGATGCGTTGTTGGCTCTTTCATACTAACAGATCGGCAAGCGTTCATCGCCCGTGATTTGCACACGACAACACCCTGACTTGTCAACGAGATCAACGATTTACAAAACGATTTGCTAACCGCTAGTCGCGCTCTTGAATGCCGGTGCGCCGGCTGGTTAAAGTGATGTCCTGTTGTGTGTGTGTGTGTGTTGGCAGGAGAGCTTCACCTCACGCCACTGCAGGGGATCCTCCAGATGAGACCCAGCTTCACATACCTGGATAAAGCTGATACTAAACATAGAGAAAGAGAGGCGGCCAATGAAGGTAGGGACGCTGGGTAAAAAATGCTTCACAACATAACCTTATTGTAAAGTTTTTTTGATTTCACATTAGAAGATTTTTATTTTAATACTATTAATAATAGTGTCTTTATAATAAACATGTGCTAAGTTGATATAAAAACAATAGGGCTGTGCAAAAATTAATTGCGATTAATCGCATCCAAAATAAAAGTCTGTGTTTACATAAAATATTTGTGTGTGCTGTATATAATTATTTTGTATATATAAATACACACACATGCATGTATATATTTAGGAAAATGTGTTATTCATATATAAAATATTTATATAATATAGATTATGTATTTATATATATATATATACACAGAATTTAAGCGCAAATAATTCTTAAATATATACATGCATGCATAGGTATTTATATATACAAAATAATTAAATACAGCACACACAAATATATTATCTAAACACAGACTTTTATTTTGGATGCGATTAATCGCAATTAATTTTTGCACAGCCCTAAAAAAACAACATGAATATGATTTTTTTTAATGGTTTTGAGAAAATATTGTGTCTTTTTCAAGAAGATATTTAATTCACATTTATTCATTTGTCAGATTTTCCAAAGCGACTTGCATTACATTTAAAGGTTCACGTTTCGACTTGGAAATTAAATAGTGAATGCATAAATTAAAACATATTTAATGACTAAAAATGTGCTGTATATAACATATTTTCCATTCAAATTAAATGTATGTATGTGAGCGTACACATCATCGTTATTATTCAAAAAAGTTTTTAAATGTATTTTTTACTCTAAAAAGCACATTATATTAATTCAAGTTTTTGGTCTCTATAGCCATGTTTCCATCCACTTGTCAATCGAATTATCTGAAATTCGGTTAAAAAACTCTGAACTTGTCTTCTGACGTGTTGCAACCATAAAAGGGCATAAAACTTAATCGCAATTCATTATTTATTCGGCAAATAACGTTTCCATCAGCTTTTACCGCATTAGCCGTATATCGATCAAGAGAAAACCCGATGAGACCGAACGTATTTCATTTGAGTCGATTTTCATGAAATTTCATCGAATTTTACTGTTTCCATAAGGCTTTTTTCATTCGATATCACTTAATTCGGATAAAAACGTGTCGATGGAAACATGGCTTATGTTAGATACATTATGATTGTTATTAACTAACGAATGTGTGTGTTTACAGCTGGAGACTCTTCTCAGGATGAAGCAGAAGAGGACGTTAAACAAATCACTGTAAGACTTCATGCCATTTGTAAAGAAAGACTACACCAGTGTTTCCCAACCCTGTTCCTGGCGGCACACCAACACTGCACGTCTCCCTAATCATCAAACACACCTGATTCAACTCATCAGCTCATAATCAGATGGACTAATGAGTTGAATCAGGTGTGTTTGATTAGGGAGACAAAGAACACGCGCAGTGTTGGTGTGCCGCCAGGAACAGGGTTGGGAAACACTGGACTACACGCATGTATAATCAGACTAAACATGCGCTCAGTCCGTGTGTTGTGCTCTTTGGTCTCATGGTTCACCTGGCGTTTGAACAGGTGAGGTTTTCCCGCCCTGAGTCGGAACAGGCCCGTCAGCGCCGCATCCAGTCCTACGAGTTCCTGCAGAAGAAACAGGCTGAGGAACCCTGGGTTCACCTGCACTACCACGGGCTCAAGGTGAGCCTGATCACATGACCCGTGCTTGACTGAAGTCGTCTGATCACATGATTTGCGCTTGACTGACGTTGAATGTAACTCGACACCCTTGCCTCATTTAGTATGCACGGTTCTATGAATATGCAAATGAGCCCCGCCTCCACTCAGAGATCCACTGGCTGACGTCACACGTTATGGAATACCTGCATGTTCTTTATTTATGTATATTATATATATTATATAATGGCTAAATTTTCCTTGCATCTGTAGGACGGACGTTCTGAGCATGAGCGCCAGTATCTTTACTGCCAGGCCATGGACACCACAGAAAACACGGAGCTGGTGAAAACACCGAAGTTAGTGCATAGACTGATAAACACTTGATTTTACCCGTGATGTTTCGCTCTCGGTGCTCATCTCGTGTGTGTGTGTGTGTGTGTGTGTGTGTGTTCTCTCCGCAGGGAATACCTGTCCATGCTCATGCCTCCTCTGGCTGAAGAGAAAGTGTAAGTAGATGAACTTTCTGTAGGACGCAGTGAAGTCTTGTGGTGTACCAGTTCATACCGAGCACCGGTGTTTATTTTTGTTATGATATGAATTTTAATATACCGCAATACCGTTGTGTAATCACTGTTTTAGAGGGTCTTTTCAATCTTCACTGGTGATGCACAGCTGTGTGAAGATGGACCGGTTAATAAACTATAATTAAAGGAGTAGTTCACTTTAAAAAAAACTTTCTGATAATTTACTCGCCATCCAAGATGTCCATGTCTTTCTTTCTTCAGTCGAAAAGAAATTAAGGTTTTTGATGAAAACATTCCAGGATTTTCTCCATATAATGGACTTCAATGGGGTCCAAACGGTTCAAGGTCCAAAAGACAGTTTCAGTGCAAACTACAAACTGCTCAAAGGGCTTTAAACGATTCCAGATGATGAATAAGGGTCTTATCAAACGAAACGATCGCTCATTTAATTAATAAATAACAAAGTTTAAGTTTTATAAGCTCAAATGCTCGCCTTGCTCTGTGTGTGTGTGACTCTCCTGTTCATCAAAATGAACGAATCTTTTTCCGAGTCAATTCGTTCGTTTCGTTCGTTGAATGAACCAAATGACACGAAAAAAGATTTGTTCATTTTGATGAACAGGAGAGTCACGAACGCGCATCACAGAACAGAGCAAGACGAGCATTTGAGCTTATAAAACTTAAACTTTGTTATTTATTTATTAAATGAGCGATCGTTTCACATGATAAGACTCTTATTCATCGTCTGGAGTCGTTTAAAGCCCTTTGAATAGTTTGTAGTTTGCACTGAAACTGTCTTTTGGACCTTGAACCGTTTGGTCCCCATTGAAGTCCATTATATGGAAAAAATCCTGGATCGTTTTCATCAAAAACCAGTGTTGGGTGTAACTAATTACTAAGTAATTAGTTACTGTAATTTAATTACTTTTCCCTTGAAAATGTAAAGTAAGGGATTACTCTTAATTTATCTGTAATTTAAATACAGTTACTTCTGATGTAATTGAGGTAAACACTGTGTATAGATCAATCTGATCTCACAGCGATTCTTATGCATTTTATGAGGTGTCTAAATCGTACGACCACACTCGTACAAATTCGTATGAATTATTGTAAAATATGTATGAAAAAAGTGTGAAATGTCATGAGATCAGACATAAAACAATAGTGGGTTTAACATCAAAATGTATTGTCTGATGCTAAAAAGTATGTTTTTATAATGCAACCTTGTCCACCTTGGTCAGTTTAAGAATAATTCATGCAATTTTATCGTATTTATTTGAAAGAATTAAAACAGATTCATTTCTATCCTTGTATTATTCAGCTGGTTGAGACTGATATGGGATTTTGAAAGTAATTAGTAATTAAAGGTAATTAAATACTTTGTAGAGAGAGTAATTAGTACAGTAATCTAATTACACTGTTGAAGAGGTAATTAGTAACTAGTAATTAATTACTTTTTTAGAGTAACTTACCCAACACTGTCAAAAACCTTCATTTCTTTTCGACTGAAGACAGAAAGACATGGACATCTTGGATGACATGGGGGCGAGTAAATTATCAGCAAAAGTTATCTATAATAGCTGTCAAATTATATATCAGTGTTTCCCATACTTTGGTTCAGAATACCCGACACACATAGATTTTCCAAAAGACTCGGTGACATCGGTGAATAAACATGAGCACTGCACGTTTCAAAGTCAAAATGAGGCACGGGTGTGTTTATATGAATGTATTTGAAGGGAACTGAAAGTCTTTCGGTGTTATTTTCATTGAATCTTTCCTGATAAAGCCGTGTCCTGCTGGACCTCTTTGTAAACAGCATCAGTTTTGTGTGGCTCGTGTGTAATACTCGTGTGGTATTTTTCTACGATATTTACTTGTGACAGTAAAACAGGGCATTCTGTGTCAATCTACTGCAGTCTTTCCTCTCTCAATCAGCAGAAAATGTGTTCATATTGAAACCGGTATCATTTTGAAAATTACTGTGATATAATGTTTGGTCACACCGACCAAGATCTTGGTATTCGTCTAGTTATCTGTGTTTGTTATATTTTCATGTTTTATTGTTTGTAGCACTATGGTCAACATTGATTGTAGTATTATTAATATGTGCTTTATAAATTAACAATGTTCATTATGGCTTAGTATGATTTGATTTTTAGTAGGGCTGTGCAAAAGTTAATTGCGATTAATCGCATCCAAAATAAAAGTCTGTGTTTACATAATATATTTGTGTGTGCTGTATATAATTATTTTGTATATATAATTACCTATGCATGCATGTATATATTTAAGAATTATTTGCGGTTAAATTCTGTATATATTTATAAATACATAATCTATATTATATAAATATAAATATTTTATATATGAATAACATATTTTCTTAAATATATACATGCATGTGTGTGTATTTATATATACAAAATAATTATATACAGCACACACAAATATATTATGTAAACAGAGACTTTTATTTTGGATGCGATTAATCGTAATTAACTTTTGCACAGCCTTAATAGACTTTTCTGATGTTGTTGTGTCTCTGGTTCTGTAGCGTGAAGCCGACGGGTCCCAGTAACGTGCTCTCCATGGCCCAGCTCCGCACGCTGCCTCTGGGGGATCAAGTCAAGACGCTGATGAAGAACGGTCAGCTTGAACGCTATTGTCTATGTCCGATTCATCGCAATCCACATGAAACATGAAATCGCACTTAAATAGTTTTGGATTATCGCGGTTCTGAAATGGCGACGGCTGTGGTTATCAGTTCTGTGCAGCGTGTCAGTGAAGCACGGCTCAGTAAACGCGGCTCACTCAGTTTGGGTCGCTTATAACATGCGTTTGAAAAAGCAACACGAGTCAAACAGCTTTCAGGAGACGCATTTATGAACCTCTTGTACACCGAAAGATGACCTTTAATAACATGCTTTACTCCAAACTCACTTCATCGGGACAGCTGAGCTCAGACTCAGAATAAGGCAGTCGTGTGTTTATTAGTCGCGTTTAATCAATCAATGCGTTTCAATCTTCTGTTTATTCAGATACAGAGAGTGTGATGCCGATAGGGTTTCCTGGAGTCATGTGTGTTATTGTGTGTGTGTGTGTGTGTGTGAGAGAGTCGCCCTCTGGTGTTCAGATGGAGCATTTACTACCGATGAGCCGTTCTTCACTGACGAACTGCGCATAAAATAATCGCAGCCGTTGCCAAATCACGTGCGGTTTCATTTGGATGAATCTCGCAGCGCTAGTGCACACAGTATATCCAGATAAAGAGACTTTCCAATCTTTCATGTTGGCGTTTGATCACGAGTGTCGAGGGATTGCGGTCACGGGTGTCGGTTTGAGAGGTGTATTTAACAATCTGAGAGTAGATATTTAGCATATTCTTTATTTATAGTGATCTGTTATTGTTAAATTTGGTCCTTTATTATTAATTGTGATTATCATATCTAGTGAGATGCGCTACAGTGTTTAAGCGGGAAAAATATGAAGAGTTTGGTTCCAAAACGCTATAAATCCATTTTGATGAATTTGAGTAAAACTGTGTTTTCTTTAGCAAGAAAATGGGAAGATGAAAACCACTATTTTCGGTTTCAAATTTTCACATAGCATTTGTAGGTTATAATAACAATAAAAAATGAAATCCAGGTTTTGATTTCCGAAGATTTATTATAAAAACAGATCGTTTTTTTCCCCCCAAAATGCAATAAATGCAATAATTAATTTTTTTCAAAATGCAATTAATCAAAATAAAATTGTATACACATTGAATTTCTTGTGCATACTATAAATCCATTGCTTTAATATAACAATATTCGGTAACACTTTAAGGGTTCATGTCATGAATTATCACGAATTCATGGATAAATGAATTATGCATTATTTCATATTAAGATCATCAGGAACTAACAACGGTTTTTTTTAACAGTTCAACGTTTTTCATTCATGACTTCATGGATGAACAAAACCTTAATTAAAACATTAACTAAGACGAACTAAAGTGAAAAATCTGAAAAGTCATATTTTTGCAGTAACTCATTTTTTTTTTTTTAATGGCGTTTTTCGCGTTTTGGAACCAAACTCTTCATATATATATATATATATATATATATATATATAACAGAAAACTAAATAACGCAGTGTGGGTGTGTTCCCGATGTTTTTCTTTGTCTGGCAGTGAAGGTAATGCCGTTTGCCAATCTGATGGGTTTGCTGGCGTCGGGGACGGACTCGACCGCAGTGTTGCGATGCATTCAACAGGTGGCGCTGCTGGTCCAGGGAAACTGGGTCGTAAAGAGGTCAGGCTTCTCACATTACAGTGGATTTTAGTTTTAATTTTTTAAGCGAGTATATTTACCCATATACTTTTTAAATCTTTTTTTCATTTATATTTAATGATATATATGTTATGTTTTTTGGTCTCACTACATAATTTATCATCGGAATGCATTGTTGCAATAGTGTTTTTGTCTTATTTATGCTGCTCTAACGTCTAAATGTCCGTTGGGGATAAATTATCTCGTCTGAAATCCTTAAATCCTGTGATTTGTCTTTGGCAGTGACGTGCTGTATCCCAAAAACACCTGTAGTTCACACAGCGGCGTTCCTGCTGAAGTGCTCTGTCGCGGCCGAGACTTTGTGGTGAGCTTTAATATGTACATTAGCTTAAAGTCCCCCTGTAGTCTACAACTTAGATCCCCAAAATGGCATCTTCATGCCTTAAAATATCTTGAATGTAACTCGACACCCTTGCCTCATTTAGTATTCGTGGTTCTATGAATATGCAAATGAGCCCCGCCTCCACTCACTCACTCAGAGATCCACTGGTTGACGATCACACGTTGATCTGATTGGTTACAAGGTGGTTTGTGACGTCGGAAACACCAGCGATTTCAAAGCGTGTTTTTGAGACATTATAATAAACATTTAAAAGCTGCATTTTCACTTTAATATGATTCCTGTCTCCTGGTTTGGATGGTATCATGACATCATGCTATATAATAAGTGCTGCTGTCAAAGCGTTTGCTGTTTTCCTCATTTCATCTCTGCGTTCTCAGATGTGGAGATTCACTCTAGAGCGAACCCTGATGAGGAAAGAGGTCGCGGCCATCATAAAGGTCAGTACTTGAGGAGAACAGAAGATGGCGCTGAAAGCATGAACACTTACTGAGCTATATCTAGATGTATGCACTTTAATTATGAATTTTGTGTGTGTGCATTTATCAGTCATGTATGTTATTCAGCATGTGGTATTGATGTTGATGTCGGTCATGTGATTCCAGCTTCCTCCCGAGGACGTGAAGGACTTCCTGGAGCAGATGTCGGCCCCTCGAGTAAACCGAGGCTGGGAGTTTCTGTTGCCCACGGATCAGGACTTCATCCGAAAGCATCCAGATGTGGCTCAGCGGCAGCACATGCTCTGGCTCGGCATCCAGTCCAAGTATGAGTCATCTCTTACACACGAGTCTGCTCGGAGATATTTAATACAGATACGAGCATTTGTGTCATGTGATCCGCCCATGTTGTCCTAGCGCTATGATGCATTAAAATACTGTTGGGTTTGGCAGTAAAAATCATTGTGTTTCATGGAAGAAAGTAAATATTGCGCAATATTCTGTTCTGGAAGTTAAATCCCATTCATTTTCTCCGTTACGTAACTTCTTGAAAGCTATGAGGTTGTTAATTGATATTATTTGCTTTTGTTGTCGCTGTCTGCCTGCATTAATCATATTTAACAGCTGAATTCCTGGTGGATAAACTACATTACCCATGATTCTGCAGAGAAATCTCCACCAATCAGAGAACCGCACACTTCCGTGAAGCATTGCAAATGACTTTTTTGTTTTTAACGTCATATGCAGTGATTTATTGGACTGTTTTTTTGTCAGATTTTCAATCAATTCAAATATTTATTTATTTATTTATTTTTTTGCTTCAAATCAAAGTTTGTAATGTGTTTTTCCTCATAGCAGGTTGGCTTTTTAAAAATCCTTATAGGAAAATGAATGGATAAAATACAAGACTATATACTTATAAGGCTAAGTCCTTTATCTTAATGAATAACACGGAATATTCAAGATATTATAGTAGTTCACTTTTCAAAAAAACTTTTGCTGATAATTTACTCGCCCCCGTGTCATCCAAGATGTCCATGTCTTTCTTTCTTCAGTCGAAAAGAAATTAAGGTTTTTGATGAAAACGATCCAGGATTTTCTCCATATAATGGATTTCAATGGGAACCAAACGGTTCAAGGTCCAAAAGAGAGTTTCAGTGCAAACTACAAACTGTTCAAATGGCTTTAAATGATTCCAGACGATAAATAAGGGTCTTATCAAGCGAAACGATCGCTCTTTTAATAAATAAATAACAAAGTTTAAGCTCAAATGCTCGCCTTGCTCTGTTCTGTGATGCGCGTTCGTGACTCTCCTGTTCATCAAAATGAACAAATCTTTTCCTGAGTCAACTCATTCATTTTGTTCATCAAATGAACCAAATGACACGAAAAAAGATTCGTTTGCAGTTTGCACTGAAACTCTCATTTGGAGATTGAACCGTTTGGTCCCCATTGAAGTCCATTATATGGAGAAAATCCTGGAATGTTTTCATCTAAAACCTTAATTTCTTTTCTACTGAAGATAGAAAGACGTGGACATCTTGGATGACATGGGGGCGAGTCAATTATCAGCAAAAGTTTTTTTTTAAAGTGAACTACTCCGTTAAACACAGATGAGAATCTCAGTCTCCTGGTTTCTAAATGAACACTCTATTGCAGGTTGGAAAAGGTGTTTAACATCTCCAAAGATGACTTTGTGCCTAAAAAGGACGCTCAGATGGGTATGTTCTGACCTTTACTTGTGTTCTCTATAATAATAAAAGTGTGTGTATAGATATATATAAACACTAGTGTTCAGAAGTTTGGGATTGGTCATTTTTTTTGTTTGTGAGAAATCTTCTGCTCACCGAGGCTGCATTTATTAGATCAAAAATACAGAAAAAATGTGAAAAATTATTATAATATAAATCATCTGTTTTCTATGTGAATATACAGTAAAGTGTAATTTATTCCTGTGATCAAAGCATCATTACGCCAGTCTTTAGTGTCACATGACCCTTCACAAATCACTCTAATATGAGGATCTGATGCTCAACAAACATTTATGATTATTATCGGTGGTGAAAACAGTTCATGTTTTTGTAGAAACTGTGATGCATTCGTTTTTTCCAGGATTGTTTAATGAATAGAAAGTTCAAAAGAACAGCATTTATATAAAATAGAAACTTTTGCAACATTATAATGAACATAATCCGTCCCTGATGAATAAAAGCATTAAAATAATTCATCAGCACACACTAGTCTATCTGTAGTTCATCACATGCATGTGTGTGTCACGACAGATCCGGTTCACGTCAGCGGAGACCAGCGCGTGAAAACGGCGCGCGAGAACGCGAGAGAAACCCACGGCGCCCTGCAGAGAGAGCTGGACGCCCGCAGACTGAAGGGGTCGCGACCCCCGGGGAACGTGCGGGTCAAGCAGGAGCCGGTGAGTGACTCTGAGGAGCCCATGGACACGTCCGGCCCGCTCACGAACGGCTCGCTCAACGGTCACCCCGCCTCCGGCTCCCCGGACCCTCACAACGGCCACGCGTCGGCGCACGCGTTCACCCCGGAGCTGCAGGAGTTCGTGCAGAACACCTTCAGGAAACACCACGTCCTGTGCCTGAGCGAGGTCAAGCGTCTGTTTAACCTGCATCTGGCCAGTTTACCCAGCGGCCACTCGGTGTACGGTCACGTGACCGACCGCATGCTGACCGAAGCCATCCTCCAGAGCCAGTGCAAGCAGATCCTGGTGCCTGTGAGTACATGTGCATCACTTCTGCAGAACTGATCAACATGCGTCTGTTCAACTTCTGCACAATATTAATAACCCGAACACACACACGGTTCCTGCCGATCTCATGTTAATCTCGAGTGCCGTCCCCTTCTTGCCTCCGAAGAGGCTTTAGTTTGATCAGATTTATAAAAGACGGCTCGGTTTAAATAAACCATATTGCATATTTTTATTCAATGCATGCATCTGGAAAATGAATCAAGTGCATCGATATTAAACTTCTGCCGAATTAAAAATCACTAGTATGATTTTACACTTTATTTATTTAGTACAAAAGAAGCTAAGCTACATCACTGTGACTTAATGGTGATTCATTTGGCTGTTACTTTCTTAAAGACTTGACGTAAATATTTTTAAATGTTTTTTTTATTTTATTTTTATTTTATTTATTTTTTATTAAAATTTTGGTGAATATAAAGGTTCCTCAGAATTGGTAAAAAAAAAAGTTTTAAGCTTCGTCAGAGCAAATATATATATGTGTGTATATTATATTTTATATATATATATATATATATATACATACATATATACATAAAATATACACACAAAAACTAACACACACACACACACATATATGATGTGTGTATATATATATATATATATATATATATTTTATTTATAATATATATATATTATTATATATATATATTATTTATAATATATATATATATTATATATATATTATAAATGTATATATTATTTATTATATATATATATTATATATATTATTTATATAGCAAATATATATATGTGTGTATATTATATTTTATACATAGTTTTTGTGTGTATATTTTATGTATATATATACATAAAATATACACACAAAAACTAACACACACACATATATATATATATATATATATTATTTATATATTTATATTTATTTATTTATATATATATATATATATATATATTATTATATATATATTATTTATAATATATATATATTATATATATTATATATATATTATAAATGTATATATTATTTATTATATATATATATATTATATATATTATTTATATAGCAAATATATATATGTGTGTATATTATATTTTATACATAGTTTTTGTGTGTATATTTTATGTATATATATACATAAAATATACACACAAAAACTAACACACACACATATATATATATATATATATATATATATATATATATATATTATATATTTATATTTATTTATATATATATATATATATATATATAATATTATTTATATAAATTACATTTTTGTAATTTCCCATATTTAATACAATATAATTGAACCCTCTCCAGCATGATGCCCACTACAAAAAAAGGCAATTTTCCATTATTCTAAATGCATGTCCTGTTTATATGTTTTTGAGATTTTTATGTTTGTCTGGATTTCCTGCAATGTGTGTTTCCCAGAACACTGGAGTTTGGTTATAAAAATATGACCTAAATAGAAACAAATGTTATGATTTGGTTCCCCAAAAAAAATAACCAAAGGTAATCAAAGTCAGAATACACATTTTTGATTAAATAAAACCAGCGGGCATGTTAATATATTGTTTTGAAGTACAAATCATTTTGCATCAGAGAGTTCATCTTTCAGTTGGTTTGGTTTTTGTTTGTTTGTTTGTAGCTTTAATTGCGGTTTAAATCCATTAATGTCCGTGTCTGTTCCTCCTTAAGATAATGTTTGATTTTAAGATGTGCTTCAGTCCTTTGTTCCTGAAGCTTATTGGATTAAGGGTGTGTGTGTGTGTAGTTTCCTCCTCAGAGCGGATCCACAGCGGATGAACAGAAGGTGTTCGGCCTGTGGGAGAGCGGAGAAACCTTTGACAAGGTGTGAACTGCATTCTTTATCTTCGCACTGTCTGTCGTGTGTGTGTGTGTGTGTGTGTGTGTGTGTGTGTCCGACTGGAATCTTCATCTTCTGAACCGTCTGATATCGTCTCTGTCGTTGTCCGTTATAGCGTAATATTTGTCCAGCGTTTCCGAAATTCGAATATAATTCGAATAGTAAAAAATTCAATACTATTCGAATGCTGAAGTTACTGTTCGAATTTTGCTTTTTATGTATATTGAAAAAAAAATATTGTATATGCAATCTTGCCTTTTCGCCGCTTTGGCTTACATGCATGTGAAAATGAAATGTTTCGTCTGATGAGCAATAACGTTTTTGAATCGTAACTCAAGTGTGCACGTTATCCACGGTGTATCATTGTAACAGTGGTCAAAAACGGTAGCCAAAATATTTAACGACGTAAAAAGCGCCCCCAAAAGCGCCTGTGAAGCAAAAAACGCAAATATTTCAACGGATTCGGTGCGCATCGAGCTTGTTGGAACCGTCTTGTGGGACTGAAAAGAACGATATAAGTTCCGAATTTTTGGAAGCGCTTCAACCATATTCAGCACCAATAAAATGTGTATTAGAAGTCCCTCTAGTGGACCGAACGTGTAACAACAACCACAAGCTGTAGTGGCATTGGCGACCCATAAGCATGTGTAATGTCGTAAATATTAATAATAGGACAAATTTTAGCATTTAATTTTCAAACATTATTCGAATATTAAATAAAATAAGGAATGGAGTTTGAATAGTATTATAGAGGAAGATTGACAGCCCTAGTGTGCGCACAGGATTGCAGTGGTGTGTGTGTGTTTACTAGAGCCAGACCGATATATCGGCAGACCGATATTATCGGCCGATATTAGGCATTTTCCAAACTATCGGTATCGGCAGTTATAATGGCCGATAAATGAATATTTCAAAAATAAAATAAAAACGGACGAAACGCACTTGAACCATGTCGTGAGTGTTGGAGTTGTATAGTTTGTCCACCAGAGGGCGCTCTACACCGTTCCTGTTGGCAACACTCGTTGAGTTGGTCACGAGACATACATTGCTTGAATAACAATTAAAAGATCATCCCCATCAGTTCTCTAAACTCAAATAAGCATGATAAAATTTGTGACTATCATGTCCAGTTTTAATTGATTAATTAATTAATAAAATATCGGCCGATCTATCGGAATATCGGATTTTAAAACCCAAAAATATTTCTATCGGTATCGGCCTTCAAAATCCTTTATCGGTCGGACTCTAGTGTTTACAGGTGTGTGTGTGTGAACGGCTGTCTTTGCTCCGCAGCTCCGGCAGGTTCTGTTCGAGATCTTCATGAAGAACTATCGCGTCAGAAGAAACGTGATCCAGACTCGCCTCACGCAGGAGCTCGGGGACGCCGTCACCAAAGCCGATGTGGATCGACTGCTCAAGGTGCCGGCGCAGCGCTCACACACACACTTAACTGATTCTGTTGTTACAGGGTTCGTACAAGGAGCTTAAAGTGTTTGAATCTGACTTTTTGAAATGAAGCCTGGAAAACAGACATATTGATGAAGTAGTGCTTGAAAAGTGCTTGAATTATTGAAATTTAGTATAAAACAATCTTTTCACATTAAATTAAAGCTGCGGTCCGTCTGATATAGATATAGAGGCGTTCGGCATGGCTGTGAGTGTGATATTGCTCACATACATCTCCAAGTGTATGATACAGCGTTTATTCTTCAGTCAATCATATATTCATGAGAGAAAAAATCAGTTTGGAAGAGGAAAGCGATATCTTGGTCATAGGATAGTTAAAGTTACCGCATTCACTGCATGTGTTGTGTTTGAACCATCTTGTTTTGTTAGTATATTTTTATACATCTATTTGCCTTTTTTTAGGATTTAAAGGACAATAAAGAAAGACATTGTTGGTTAAATGAGATCTCTGATTGTAGTTCTTGGAATAAAGCCTAAAAAGTAGTGCTTAAAGGAGTTGTTCACTTTTGAATAAACTTTTGCTGATAATTTACTCGCCCCCGTGTCATCCAAGATGTCCATGTCTTTCTTTCTTCAGTCGAAACAAAATTAAGGTTTTTGATGAAAACATTCCAGGATTTTCTCCATATAATGGACTTCAATGGGGTCCAAACGGTTCAAGATCCAAAAGACAGTTTCAGTGCAAACTACAAACTGTTCAAAGGGCTTTAAATGATTCCAGACGATGAATAAGGGTCTTATCTAGGACCCTTCGAGTCATGACTCGAATTCGTTCGTTTTGATGAACAAGTTCGAACAGGAGAGTCACAAACATGCGTCACAGAACAGAGCAAGGCGAGCATTTGAGCTTATAAAACTTAAACTTTGTTATTTATTTATTAAATGACCGCTCGTTTCGCTTGATAAGACCCTTATTTATCATCTGGAATCGTTTAAAGCCCTTTGAAGCTGCACTGAAACTGTCTTTTGGACCTTGAACCGTTTGGTCCCCATTGAAGTCCATTATATGGAGAAAATCCTGGAAAGTTTTCATCAAAAACCTTAATTTCTTTTCGACTGAAGAAAGAAAGACGTGGACATCTCGGATGACATGGGGGCGAGTAAATTATCAGGAAAAGTTTTTTTTACTCCTTTAAAAAGTCCTGGAATTAGATTTGACGGTGTGTGTCATGTAAATGCTGACGTGCAGTAATGTTGTGTGTGTGTAATAGGAGTGCTGTATGAGTCTGGGAGGGATGTGGTATCTGAAGGGGACGGTCCGCTCCTGACGGGAAGACTCGGAGCGCTGGGGTCCTGTCAATCAGCTCGTCTGCCTCTGGAGGCGGAGCTAAACACACCAACCAATCGCTGCCCTCGGCTGAGCGGGTGGGAGGAGCATCTGCACACGCCAACGCTTCAGACTCACACACACACGAGCGTCTCAGAAAAAGGGCTGAGGATGGATTTAATTCTGCGTTTCAGCACAGGAAAGGAGTTGCTGAACGCGTACTCGGACTATCTTTTGGTTTTGTTTTTTATGATTTAAAGGGGTAGTTGTTTCGAATAAAGATGACAGGAGATCATGGTTCAACTCGTTTCATCTCGCTTGTGGCCTTTGCGAGTTTATCGTCAGGTTTTGGCTTTGTTTAGTACGTGTAGCTGACTGAAGAAAAAGAAAAAATCTTGCTTTTATTGCATATTGTTTTGTTTTTTTTAGTGAATGAGTTTACATAACTTGTGTGTGTGTACTCACTGTGTATAATTATTTTACATATCTAAATACACACACATGCACTTATATATTTGGGAAATATTTGCATGTGTATAAATAGTTTATTTTATATATAAATATCACATTTTTCTTAAATATATACGTGCATGTGTGTGAATTTATATATGCAAAATAATTACACACAACACGCACATACATTACGTAAACACAAACTTATTTTGGATGTGATTAATGGTTTCTCAGCACTAGTTTGGCCGACGGATCCGAAGGATATGTCAGATATTAATTTCCCTGCTCAAACGAAGGCCGTAAACTTCCCTCGTTCACTTTCTGAAAGGTTTACAACCAAAAACACGTACGGACATTGTGGTTTCTGGAGCAGTTTAAATCAAATCTGACCAGCAAACAATAAAAAGTGAATTTATGAATCTGTTTAATGAATATTAATTGGCATTATTTTTTTTTTTTTTGATTTACGTCAGAATGACTGTTTGGAAACGCCAATTCACATTAAATGCAAAAGCAGTGTTAAACATTAATTTTTGTGGAAATTAAAATGATTTTTTTCCGCAAATCAGAGGTTTTGCCGGCTTCGTTTCAACGGTTAAAGTGGTTTGAAAGAAAGTGCCTCTTAAATATTCAGGGGAAATATTCTTATTATTACAGTATGACTGATCTTCCCGTGTCATCCGCACCTGGATATGAAGCGTTCACTGTCACGTGTTTTTATGCATTCCTCATATTCATAAGCTGAATCATTGCGGTCACATTCTCCATTATTTTATATGTATATCATTCTGAATAAATGTTGCAACTGAAATCTTGTCTTATTTTATTGTCTTCAAATAGAAGGTGATTAATATTCAGGAATATTTTTTATTTAAATGCACTGATAATCTCGGATGATTAGCTGAATAACGGCTATGTATTGCTTCATAGCTGGAAATGCATTTTATTTATAACATTAAAACTGATATTTTAATGCATGTGAAATTTCCCTGTTAACTGAACGAAAGCGCTGGGAAATGTAAACGTTTCTTTTTCTCTTTCGTTTTTATGGTTACACTATATAATAAGGTCCCTTTAGGTTATGCATCAACTAATAAGCAATACATGTTACTGTATTAATCAATCTTTATTAGTATCACTTAATAAAAATACAGCTGTTCTTTAAATGATATTATTTGGTAACAATTAATTTAACAGTCCTTATTATATGTTGCCTATATTCTGTAGTAATAACAGTAAATAAAGCACAATTATGTGTCTAATCTGAACTCTATAGTGAGTATACATTACACTGTAACAATGAAACCTTAAAATAAAGTTTCTGAATCTATTATGCATAAATATTTATACTCCTGGACTAATGATCATTTTCTAACATCTGGATTTCTATTTAACAAATACATACAGTTTGACCAACATTAAGATATAAGCTCTATTAACCAATTAGATATTGACCTTAGCTGATATTTCTTCTGTATATAATATAACTGTAAAATCAGCACATATCTGAAGATGAACAGTAGATGCCCAAACATCCGGTCATTAATATAGAAACGGAACAATATTACGGGTCCCAATATTGAACCTTGAGGTACGCCAACAGAATTATTAACCGAACACACTGTTTTATATCAGCAAGGCATGATCTGGATTCGTTTAATCACCTCTGGTAAGAAATTATAATTTGATAACTTGTGAAATGTTCCCCTGGCTGTAGTTGATAATTGTATCCCTTAAAACTGATGTCTGATCACCAAAATGATATATTTAAACGTTTTTGCTTTTAATTATTTTTTTCATGTCTTAAAATATCTTGAAAATATATCTTGTTGCCAATTTTGGATCAAATATGGACAAACACAGCTATTGGGTTACATTTTTAAATGACATTTTTAACCCAATGTTTGAGTTTGTCCATATTTGACCCAAAATTGGGTTAAAACAACCCAGCATTTTTTAGACGCCGTTCTATGAATATGCAAATAAAATGAGCCCCGCCTCCACTCACTCAATCAGAGATCCACTGGTTGACGATCAAACGTTGATCTGGTTGGTTACAGGTCATTTGTGACGTCAGAAACACCAGCGTGTTTTGACTGTCTTTGGTTCACTGCAGTTTTAAGGAGGAAATACTCAGCAATGCTGTCCACTTATCAACTTACCAACCCGGTCTCATCCCAAGACGTCATATAACTGACGTTTTGGGACGTCTTTTGACCATACGTCAATATTCGCCTTTTTAGGGCCCCCTTAAACGTCGGTAGATGAGGATATGGGATCCTAACTCTACCCCACCTAAACCTAACCCGTCACCTAACTGACGTTAAAGGTAAAGCGTCAGTTGTATGACGGCCCGGGATCGCCATCTACCGACGTTTAAGGGGGCCCTAAAAAGGCGGATATTGACGTATGGTCAAAAGACGTCCCAAAACGTCAGTTATATGACGTCTTCGGATGAGACTGTGTTAAACTTACACATGCTGTGTCCAATTTAGGTTTTATTTTAGAAAAATGATATTTTTTGAAAGCCAACCTGAATCTGCTGTAACGAGATTTCATCCGGATATTCGGTCCTTTTTCAGAATATGCGTAATAGCGCCCCCTGCCGTATAACGGTGAAAACACAAACATGACATAATGAACAAAGTGCAAACTCCAGTTCTAATCTAGTCGGGTGTGTTGGCGATAATAGACGAAGCATCTGTCCTGTTCTCTCTCAGTCTGGCTGATAAAGCCTGATGTCACTCAAATCTTATCAAAGGCTTTGATTAGACGCAGCGTTTCGTTCTCTGATGTCCAGCGTCCAAAAGTGACAGTCTCCCTCTGGGTTCAAGTCCATTTCTATGTGAAATAGAGTTTGTGCTCCTCGTTTGCATCGCTGATAAAGGGGAAAGGTCACATGCAGTGATGCAAACACACAGTTCAAGATGAATGACGATGACTTGAGACACATGAACTAATAATCACAAAGTTCACACGCCAATAAAACATCTGAGCAAATAACTGATAGCTGCAAGATAATAGTTTTTCCTTTAAAAGATGATGCAACACATGTCATGCACTGATCAATTATTACTAAAAAAAAGTGCTGGAACGCTTTGTTTTCCCAATATTCCAAATGAATAAAGTTTTGCATTACAAATTATCTTTGCATTACATTATTTTCACATTACAGACCAATTCTAGATTTAAATTGTAAAAGTATTTATTTAATATTTGTGTAGATCTTGCCTTTAATTTACAATGATTTTTAATAAATAATTGTTTCTGGGTAAGGTGATTTTCAAAGGACACATTACATTTACAAGATCATTTATTATATCATTCCTAGATCATTAATATAATATAATCCACTATAAAACACAAAATATGAGCATCAGAAGTCAGCTACAGCACTTTCAGTTTACAGAAGCGCATTTATTTTTACAGTGACGTTCAGAAATGTTTTCAAAGTGCATTTCATTAAAACGTCCCGGTTCTGTCGGACAATTTATTTGTGAAATTTCATTTCTGAGCGAAAATTGTTTGTACATATATTTTTTTATTTTCCAAATCTGTAAATATGCAAATCAGTGCCTCATTCGGGCGTGGTCCTGTTTTCCTTCAGGTCCTCTTTGCTCTTTTTAATGAAGCTGAAAATCTCAGTAAACAGGGCTTTGTATGCGGGCTGAGTGTGTGTGTGTGTTTGAGCTTTGTGTGTCTCGTCCTCGCAGCGGCGCAGAAGCGTGTCGTATTTCTCCTTCAGGGCGATATATTGCGCGTCCATCTCGTTCAGCAGAGATATCCCATGATGCTCGTGCAGGCTCCGCCCCCTGTGTCTGGCCACGCCCACTTCTTCATCATCATACGCCACTGTGAGGGGCTCGTTGTGTTTTTGTGCGCTGGAGCTCAGCAGAAGTCGTAGCTCCCGGACCTCGGCTTCGGTCTCGGTGAGCCGGCTCTTGTAAACTCCCATCAGCGCCGCTTTGGGCTCCAGGTCGCTGAGCTCGCGGGCCAGAACATGGGCTTCTCGCTCAGCACACGCTCTCTGAGCGCGCTCCGTGAGCAACTGGGCCTGCAGGGAACGGGACGAGCGCACGAGCTCCCAGAACTCCTCCTGTTCCTCTTGGTTCACTCTGGAAGTGGAGAGCTCATGGGAAATGGGCCTGAAATAAAAATAGCAGAGCCATTAGTCAAAGCTAACAAACATGCTAATGTTCTTCAAACCAATTCCAGTTTCTGACTGAAGTGAGTTAAACTGCAGTTCCTCCACTGGCCACTAGAGACTCAATCCCATAGACCCGCATGTTAAAATGGCCAACTTTACAGCAGAATAAAACACGTTTACAGTCTGGTGCAAAAACTGGTTTTGGTCTATATCGCTAATTTTGTCCTTTATGGCGACTGTGATGAGTAAAACTCATCCGTTTTAAATTATATTAAGCTTTAAAGTTCTGCATAATTAAGGGCGTGGCCGCTTAAAAACATTCAAAAATTCACTACAATAAGGTTCATTAGTGAACATGAAATAAGAATGAACAATACTTCTTCAGCATTTAATCATCTTATTTCATATTCATTTCAACATTTACTAATACGTTGTTAAAATTAAAGGTTGTATTTGTTGACGTTAGAACAATGAACTGTTGTTTTTTTTTATTAACTATTATTAACAAAGATTAATAGATGCTGTAACAAATGTATTGCTCATTCATTGTATGTTCATGTTAGTTATTACATTAAATTAAGTTAACTAATGAACTTTATTTTAAAGTGTTACCAAAAAAATCTTGGTTATACGAGTGTTTATGGAACAGTTCATTTTATCATTTTTTAACATTTTGAATGTTCTCTGAAGTAACGTTTGAAAAATGTTAAACGAACATCCAACATATACATTTCAGAAAAAAAAAACATTGTATAAATATTTTTTTAATATTTTTTTTGTATAAAAAGTTTTTGTCATGGCAATATCTAAGGTCACATTGTTAAATATATAGTCTTAATAATGTGCAATAAAGTGAGAAATTATTAGATATAAAGTTGCAATTGGAAGAAATAATGTCGCAATTGTGAAATCGGATTTTTTTTTTTTTGGGAGTAAAGTGTATGGGGGAAAATGTTAAATTTATAAATCATATTTTCCTTTTCTTGCATCATACAACCCTGTCCATGTTAACTCCAGCAGATTAAGAGTTTATAATGTTTGCGAAGGACGTTCTGTTTGAAACCTCCACACAGGCCAGTTCTATATCTTTATTTCTTATCTTTTTCTTTTTTTATGCATGATATTTAATTTTCTTACGCATTATATTTTACTTATGCATGATATTTTTACCTTTTTATGCATGATACTTAATTTTCTTATTCATTATATTTTTTTACCTTTTTATGCATGATATTTTTACTTCTTATGCATGATACTTTTGCATATTTAAATTTCTTATGCATGATATTTTTAGTTATGCATGATATTTTTACTTATGCATGATACTTAATTTTCTTATGATATTTAATTTTCTTATGCATGATATTTTTACTTATGCATGATATTTAATTTTCTTATGCATGATATTTTTACCTTTTTATACATGATACTTAATTTTCTTATTTATGATATTTAATTTTCTTATGCATGATATTTAATTTTCTTATGCGTGATATTTTTACCTTTTTATACATGATACTTAATTTTCTTATTCATATTTAATTTTCTTATGCATGATATTTTTTTTTACCTTTTTATGCATGATATTTTTACTTCTTATGCATGATACTTTTGCATGATATTTAATTTAGTTGTGCATTATATTTTTACTTCTTTTGCATGATATTTAATTTTCTTATGAATGATATTTTTACTTCGTATGCATCGGTTGTGATTATTTTATGACCCCTTTACTATGTAAAGCACTTTGAATAACCATTGCGTATGAAGTGTGCTATATGAATAAACTTACTAATCCACTTGACTGAAAGGCCACTATTATAACTACAGGTGCATTAAAACGTACTTGTGTAATCGACACTTGCAGCATGTGAGTCCCTGCAGTGGTGAATCCAGATGTGCATTAGACCGGGTGTGTTTCAGGCTCTTCATGTCTCTCTGCAGCTCCTCTATCTGAGTCTGCAGCGCGTCCACCGTCTCTGTGAGCCTGCAGGAGTGAGGAGAGGAGTTATTCTTACGTCATTTTGTTTTTTCTTCATCGGAATGGTACAAAACTTGAACGGTTTTGGCACTTGCTTTGCTGTGTGAACACAATAAATAACATCATGGACATGACTCGAGGTTTAATGGTCCTGTAAGAAATAGTCACTTCAGAAATGACGCATTGGAAATGAATAAAGACGAGTTTCCTCTAGTGGAGGCGTTCGGTACTGCAGCCGAACACACTCTCGCTGTACGCTCGTTTACTGAGATATCAAGCTCAAATTTGGAACTTGTTTAGATTTATGGCTTTGATTTTCTCACAGTTTTAGAGTAAACCATGTTTTTGAAAATATATATTTCATATAAAAATTTTAAATACTATTTTTGCTTTAGCTTTTCAATGTTCACTTTTTAAAACCTTTCTCACTCCAGCAATAATCTGAGGGTTAAAGCATTGACTGTGATCTCCGGAGGTGTTTGTAGCCTCACCCCTGGATGTTGATCTGGGCCGCTCGGTTCTCCAGCTCCAGCCTCCGGTTCCTCAGCTCGAGATCCCGTGCCGTCGAGTCGAGCTGCTCAGAGACTCGGGCGAGCTGATCGTTCTCTGACCTCAGCACATCGACCTGCTTAGAAAGATACTGGATGACAGAGAACATAACATTACACTCACATCTGATAGATAGATAGATAGATAGATAGATAGATAGATAGATAGATAGATAGATAGATAGATAGATAGATAGATAGATAGATAGATAGATAGATAGATAGATAGATAGATAGATAGATAGATAGATAGATAGATAGATAGATAGATAGATAGATAGATAGATAGATAGATGGACGGACGGACGGACGTGTATACCTCTATCTCCTGCAGCTGGTCCTGGTGAGTCTCCTGCATCTGTTGGAGGGTCTGCTCTAAGTCTCTGTTCTGCTCCAGCAAATTTTTACCCAATTCAGCAGCTAAATGAAGATCTGCAGGAGAAGAGGAGGAGAATCTGTTGAGGAACTGATACTGAACAACCGCAGCAAGTCAATAATAATAATATAAGTCTTTTTAAGTCAATTTTACATTTGAACTGTTTATCTATGCACAATCTTGCAGAAATTAGGACATCAGGTAACAGCTGTCACTCACACACACACTCACACACACACACACACACACACTCGCTGTCGTGTGCTCAATTAGATATTCGTGAACAAATGAGATGAAATGAGACTAGACGAAGATACTTCAGGCAGAGCCACACCAAAACATTCATCTAAACATAGACCTCTATACGCACTGAATTAATAATAAATTATTCTGCAACAAATATTTTTTGGATTTTCTATACTAAGTCGTAAAGTGAGCAGGATATATTAAAATGAAGCGTATTCGGCAGGCATATTATTATTATGATAAGCGGGGCAGCCGGTCTCAGTCCGCTCTAGCTCAACAGCGCCTCCACAGTTTTCCAATGCAAATCTGTGGTGAGAAATGGAACTGCAGCGCGCCGCCGCTTATTGTCACGTGACCTTACGTAAACCTCGATCCAAAACCCTTCAGATATGTAAATTAATAATACTACTAATAAAAAATAACCTTGATATATGTGTGTGTGTGCATCAAAGTCAATAACTAGTTGACATGTCTGTTCTTCCTATGTGGAGTCGCGTATCAAATTAATAAAAGTATTTTATACAGCACTTCTGTTGAGTTTGTTTTATGTTTGTTCTGAAAATAGATATGAGTTTGTTTTCCTCACTGTCTGGAATTCCTAACTTGAAACATTGTAAAATAACATTCGGACGCAATAAATTAAGGCAATTATAAATACATTAAGGCAATTATAAATACATTAAATTATAAATGAATGTACTAACTAAAGTATTTCATTCATCATTATAGCGCCACCCTCAGGCTGAATAACGCAAGGACAATAGAATTGAATTATGCGAAAAATGTGTTCAGCGATTAGAATATAAAGTTTACAAGATGTTTATCATAAACTAGTGCAAAGACCCAGAATCTGCACTGCCTACATTTATGGCCTGGACTATAATCTAGACCATATTTGTTAAAAGAGCCAATTATAAACTTGCACTTCAGCAATAGGCCTAGTTAAATAAAGACTTAAACTCACCATGTTCCAGATCTTGATGATCATACCAGGGTTCTTCCTCTTTCATATCAAATTCTCCTTCTATCATCATGTCTGTGAGCATCTTGAGTCAATAAAGCAGAACAACTCTAGTTTCTTTTAGTTTAGTTAATTTAATTATTTTATTTCCGTCAGGAAATGTAGCCTATATCTATTTCACTATCTCTTTTTCTTCTTTACTGGCTGAAAGTTATTTGAATATGATGTGCCTATGTATAATAACGCATTGCATGTGTCAGTCTGAGACATTGCACTGAGAGTTATTGTGTCCTCGGGAGCGCGCGCAGGAGGAGGAGCTAACTGACGTATGAAAGTGCGCGCACACGTTGTACAGAGTAACTTTGCATAGATCAGTTTTGTAGAAGATATCTGGTGTATGAATTACATTATAACATGTAATAACCTTAATCTGATGCATCTGATGTCATAAATAAAACATCACTTTTCTGATGGTTTCTCTGAAAAAAATACTTTCTTGTTCACACCATTGAGTTTCTTTATATCAATGCTGTGAAACCTGACGGTTAATATTTCTTTGCAAACTTTTTTATTATTTGTGTACACTTAGATATTTCACAGTTTAATGCAGATTTATTTATTTCTGTTCAAAACTATAGGGCTGTCTTCAGTCGTGTAATAATGGTCTTTAGAATAAAGAGAGAAAAACTAATACTATCCAGGTTTTTAAGTGTGTTAAAAATGATTGCGTTTTACATCCCTATTTTGTCACATCTTTTTCTTTTACCATTATTTTTCATAGACTTTGTTTTACAGTAATTGTCTTTTTTTTACAGGTTTGTGTGTAAATTGTCCTTGTGTGTGTTTTGTTCAGTAACACACACACATACACATTATTCTTTATTATTATTTTTATTATATAGTCTATAACTGTGATGGAGCCATACATTTTTTTAAATACAATTATTAATCCATGTATCTATTTTATTTTTTTATTTTTTTTGAATATCTATTCTTTATTTATTTATTTATTTATTTTGAGTTTCTTTTCACATTTGCAAGTCTCTTTTAACTACAGCACTTTCTGTTATAGTAAGTTGAGAATCTAATTGTTAACAAAATGACACACAGTCAGACAGACAGAGAGGATGAAAGAGAAAGAGCATTAACGTTACAGTGCATGTGAAATAACTTCAAGATCTTCTCTCAGATGCAAAGTGTAAAACGTTCATATTTTACAGTCTAGTGAGTCTCTGTCCACTGACACGCGCCGCCTAGCGGTGATGTCACACATGACCGGTCACGTGATTCACCGGCTTCTTTTAAATGTAACACAATCAGGAAGTGAACTTTTTTTCTTTCAAAGGGACTCAGCTGATTTGTGCCAAATGTGTTTGTCCTTCAGATTATACTTAACAGAGATGTGTGTGTCTAAACAGCACCACACCTTCAGGTTTGTTTGTTTGTTAGTCTGTCGAATAGCGGGCTGATGATATATGTTTCTGGACGAGTCTCTCTCTCATTGCCTCAGTCGGTCAGTTGTTCACTATGTGTCCTCCACAGATGAGGATCGTGATCTTCATCTCTTGGCTGCTGTTTTACGTGTCTTTTCTCCTGGTGATGCGAAAGATGTGGACTGGGAAGTATGTTCGCAGTCCACTGGCTCGATCTCTGTTCATGAACATGGAGACTGAGACTGAGACTGAAACACCTGGATATGAAGCCCAGCAGGTGAGAGGCTCGTTCACCTGGAACAGCTGCTGTTGTGGAGACATTTACCAGCAAGAAATTATGCTTTTTGTACCTTAATTTCTTCAAACATTTACAAATGGTAACATCATGAAGTCCACTCTCTAAATACAGTTTTCAGGACCATAGTTTCTTTTCATCTAAGTACCATGGTATTGAAGCTATCATTGTTGTTGCATTTAGGCTAATAACAAATAATTCTAAGGTATTATTATGTTGTTGTTTTTTTTTTTTGTTGGACATTTACCATGGTAGAACCATGGTATTCCTAGAAGTCCATATGGATCACCATACCATGGTATTACCAATTTGAAATGATCTCTATTGTGGTACCATGATGTAACTATTGTGTTTTTTTGATAGCATGGTTTTATACATTTACATTTAGTACAGATGCAGACTGTGGTTGCATTTACACTTATAAAAATTACCATGGTATATTACCATGGATTTGGGCGTGATTTCAGTTAATTCATTATCATTACCATATTAATGCATATCAAAATTCCACCATTTTACATTTTCAATAGAACTTTTAGGTGTTTAGGTGTTTAGGTTTTAGGCTTGCCGAACGTTGTGCCGTAATGTTATCGTTATCGGCCCAATAATAAAATAAAGCTGATATATTAAAATCAATAAATAATGTATTATCTTCATCACATGAGACGCTTCAGATGCGCACTGTTCAACACGATGGTTTTGAATTGCTTGAAATATGATTGGAATCACTTCAAAAAAGGAAAATACAGTAAAGTGCAATGTGCAAGTCTGTCATATAGTCTACATAATATTAGAATGAGAACATCATTGTAATTGTGTGATTGGGACTTGATGAGACTTTTGTTTTTGTAATCAATCAAGCTCTCAAAAATGATATAAACAATTTTTGTTTTATAGTTATACACTCAATATATCGGTCATCGGCTTTCAAATGTAAAGAATTATCGGTTATCGGTATCGGCTAAAATATTTATATCGGTGCATCCCTAGCTTGGGACATATATTTAATGGACACCTTTGTAATTAGGCTCTCAAAAATGTAAATTATCGGCCGATATATCGGTTATCAGCTTTCAAATATAAAGAATTATCGTTTACCGCTATCGGCCAAAATGTTCATATCGGTGCATCCCTAGCTCGGGACATATATTTAATGGACACCTTTGTAATTAGGCTCTCAAAAATGTAAATTATCGGCCGATATATCGGTTATCGGCCTTCAAATATAAAGAATTATCGTATCAGCCAAAATGTTCATATCGGTGCATCCCTAACTCGGGACATGTGTTTAATGGAGACTTTTATGATCAGGCTCTCAAAAATGTAAATTTACCGGCCAATATATCGGTTATCAGCCTTCAAATATAAAGAATTATCGATATCAGCCAAAATGTTCATATCGGTGCATCCCTAGCTTGGGACATAGATTTAATGGAGACTTTTGTAATTAGGCTCTCAAAAATGTAAATTTATCGGCCAATATATCGGTTATTGGCCTTTAAATATAAAGAATTATCGTTATCAGCCAAAATGTTCACATCAGTGCATCCCTAGCTCGGGACATATGTTTAATGGAGACTTTTGTAATCAGGCTTTCAAAAATGTAAATTTATCGGCCAATATATTGGTAATCGGCTTTCAAATATAAAGAATTATCGTTTACCGCTATCGGCCAAAATGTTCATATCAGTGCATCCCTAGCTTGGGACATAGATTTATTGGACACCTTTGTAATCAGGCTCTCAAAAATGTAAATTATCGCCCAATATATCGGTTATCGGCTTTCAAATATAAAGAATTATCGGTATCGGCTAAAATATTTATATCGGTGCATCCCTAGCTTGGGACATATATTTAATGGACACCTTTGTAATTAGGCTCTCAAAAATGTAAATTATCGGCCGATATATCGGTTATTGGCCTTCAAATATAAAGAATTATCGGTATCAGCTAAAATATTTATATCGGTGCATCCCTAGCTTGGGACATATATTTAATGGACACCTTTGTAATTAGGCTCTCAAAAATGTAAATTATCGGCCGATATATCAGTTATCGGCCTTCAAATATAAAGAGTTATCGGTATCAGCCAAAATGTTCATATCGGTGCATCCCTAGCTCGGGACATATACTTAATGGAGACTTTTGTAATCAGGCTTTCAAAAATGTAACTTTATCGGCCTATATATCGGTTATCGGCTTTCAAATATACAGAATTATCGGTTATCGGTATCAGCCAAAATGTTCATATCGGTGCATCCCTATTTTTTTCTTCTTTGCAAAGAAACTTAATACTTCATTGGTGGTGGTTTCATGTGAGATGGTTAACCAGCACTTGTTGAAGCCTATGTGTAAATGTGTTCGCAGTGGTACCGGTGCAATCCAGACCTGCTGGGAGAAAGCGTTCGCTCTGTGTTTGTTCAGAGTCGTCTGGATGAGGAGACGCTGGCGTTCCTCCAGAAGAGCGAGGAGAAATCCAGCTGGCTTTTCACACAGCTTTACCACTCGCTCTTCTCCACCATCTTCAGCCCCATCGTTTCTCGCACCTCAATCAACGGGTAACCATCCCTGATTCTCTCCAATGCCTGTTCTGATGTGTGCTTCGTCAAGTCATCTTCATTTGTATAGCGCTTTTAACAATACATCACAAGGGTCAATTTATTGAAATTGAGATTTATAAATCATCTGATTTCCGTTGATGTATGGTCTGTTTGCATAGGACAATATTTGGCCGAGATACAGTTATTTGAAAATCTGGAATATGAGGGTGTAAAAAAAGTTAGTTGTGCATTTATGTTCATGATTTTGCTGCATACACGCACAAAAATATATTTTTTAATATATTACGGTAGAAAATTTACAAAATATCTTCATGGAACATGATCTTAATATCCTAATGATCTTTGGCATAAAATAATTATTATTGATAATTTTGACCCATACAATGTATTTATGGCTATTGCCACAAATATACCCATGCAGCATGTGACAAAAATTCAAATATCGTGCAAAAGTTCAGTAAAAGGTGAAACTAATATATTATATAGACTCATTACATGCAAAGTGAAATATTTCAAGCCTTTATTTGTTATAATTGTGACGATTATGACTTACAGATATTAAAACCTTTTCACAATATTCTAATTTTGAATTTGGGGTTTTCATAAGCTCTAATCCATAATCATCACAATTATAACAAATAAAGGCTTGAAATATCTCACTTTGCATGTAATGAGTCTATATAATATATTAGTTTCACCTTTAAATGAACTTTTGCAGGATATTTACATCTTTCCAGTTTCACAGCAGCTTTACCGTGAGAACAGGAGATTACAGTAAGAGAGATAGTTTAAGGCTTTACAGCAGCTCTAGAATAAAGTCTAGCTAAAGTTGATCGATTCATTAGTTTGTCCTGTCGGTCCGCAGGTTTCTGGGCCGCGGCTCCATGTTTGTGTTTTCCAAGGATCAGTTCCAGCGCCTCCTCCAGATCGAGCCCGAATGGAAAGGACGTCGGATGCTGGATCTGGGCGCCGGAGATGGAGGCGTCACAGAAGTGATGGGATGTCACTTTAACGAGGTGTTCACCACTGAGGTCTCGACGCCCATGAAGTGGCACCTACAAAGAAAGAGTTACAGGTAGGCATGCACCGATATCAACATTTTGCCTGATACCGATAATTCTTTAGATATTTGTACTGCATATGTATAATTTACATGATTTTGTTAAATAAAATAGACTTGAAGTATTAATAAAATCATTAAAAATGCATTGTTTTCGTGTGCAGTCCGACGGATCAATATAACAGCAAATTCACTGACATTATTGCAAAAAGAAAAAAATGTTTTCTAACTCAGTATTTTTGTCTTGTTTTACATTAACAATATCTGAACATTCTTAAATCAAAACACATTTACTTGGGAATAAAAATGTTAAAAGATATTAAGTCTTGTTTTCATGAATAAATGATCAAAATTAAGCGACTTTATGCTTAAAACAGGAAAATACATATTTTTTCTGACCCCATTGGCAGATATTTGTTCAGCTTTAAAGCATAAACAGTTTTTACTACACAAGACCTGAAGTCATTTGCTTCTCCAGTAAATGCATCTTGATTTACGATATTTGTATTGAAAAACAAGCAGAATTACTGAGGAAGAACATCATTTGTCTGCAGTGAATACAGACGAGTAATATTAAAGCTGAATGTGGATGAACAGACTCCTTGCAGTTAATACTACATTGATTTTACTGTAAATAATACATACGCCGCTTCTTCCCAGCATTTGTCTAACATAATAAAATGAAATGAAAATTTTGTCCGATACCGATAATTCTTTATATTTGCAAGCCGATAACCGATATATCGGCTAATACATTTTTATATAATTTTTGAGAGCCTGATTACAAAAACAAAACTCTCATCATGTCCCAATCACACAATTCTAATAATGTTCTCATAATAATTTTATGTGGCCGATATGACCGTCTTGCGCTAAATTGTATTTTCCTTTTGTGATTTTAATCATAAGTCAAGCAATTCAAAAGCATCATATTGAACAGTGCATATCTGAAGAGTCTCAGCTGACGGAGATAATACATTATGTATCGGTGTTAATGCATCAGCCAAATGTTCTTATCAAACCGATAACGATAACATAAAAAATGCTCAAATATCGGCTGATACGATACCGATATGCTGGCCGATATATCATCATCCCTAGTTCCAGGTAAAGCTGCCTCTGAATGAGGATTGGCTGCACATTATTAATGCACTGAGGCCATTGTGTGCTTGACTTTGAATCCTCAGCTTGTTGGGAGTCGATGAATGGCACAGAACGGGTTTCCAGTTCGACCTGATCAGCTGCCTGAACCTGCTGGATCGCTGCGACGAGCCTCTTCAACTCCTGAGGGACATCAAGAAGTCCCTGGTGCCGGGAACGGGGCGGCTCATCTTGGCAGCCGTTGTGCCCTTCCAGCCTTATGTGGAGACGGGTAAGATGATCGCTGAAACCAGAACTACTGATCAATTCATGAGTGTCTGCTAGTAGGTGCATTATCTACAACATGCTTGCACAGGTAAAATCTCATTACCTTACAGGAAATATTTAGGATTTGTTGACATGACAGTGAATACAATTTTTTGGCATGAAAGTGAAGTTGCGCTGGTCTTTTCTTCTTTATTGTGTCGTATCTCTGAAAAAAACAACAATTCAGGGACGAGAACACATGTGGGCGGGGCTTGATTGTGTCTGTGGGGAGTTGATTGGATGGATGTGGTTTGCTATTGGTGGATCTCATGTGATTGACAGGTTAAAGCCCCGCCCACATCATCAGAGAAGAGATTCTGCAAGAGGAACTGATTCTGATTCAACATTATGAGGAACGTTAATGATGTGCACCGATAAACACTACAATATTCCATAAATAATGAGAATTATCCGTTTTTATTTCATGGTGACTTTAATTATTTTTTATTTGGTGGGTTTTCAGATTCTTGACTTGAAGTTTTTCTTGCAATTCTGACTTATTCTCTTTTTTGTTTTTTGTTTTTCTTGCAATTTTATTTATTTCTCATAAGTCTGAGTTTATTTTTACAATTCTGACTTTCTTGCAATTCTGATTTTATTTCTCTTTTTTTTTTCTTGCAATTCTGACTTTTTCCTCACAATTGTGACTTTCTTGCAACTCTGACTTTATTTCTCACTCAAAATTGCGAGAAATAAAGTCAGAAATGTGAGAAATAAAGTTCCATTAAGTTCTATTTCTTCCAATTGAGTTTTTTTCTTGCAATTTTAAGTATATATCTCACAAGTCTGTGTTTATTTCTCACAATTTCGACTTCATTATTTGTGCAATTTTGGAGATGGTCCTCACTGCAGAACATGAAATCCATGGGGAGGAGTCGGATCCAGATCCAACTCCTCCCACGTTACATATACCTAAACCTACCCAGCTCCACCCCCTGATCCCACCCCTCAGATCTGGATCCGACTCCACCCCCTGGATCTTGTGTACTGCAATTTTGACTTGCAATTTTGACTATTTCTCACAATGCTGACTTTATTTCCTGCAATTACTCTCTCTATTCTGACTTAAACTTCTGACTTAAACGGAGTGTTCATTATCTTCCAGGCGGGAGCTGGGTGCGACCCAAGGAACACATCAAGCTGGAGGGCAAGTCGTGGGAAGATCAGGTGACACAGCTCCACTCGGATGTGTTCCTGAAGATGGGCTTCGAGCTGGAGGCCGTCACACGCCTGCCATACCTGTGCGAGGGAGACATGTACAGGGATTACTACATGCTGGACGACGCCGTGTTCGTGCTGAAACCTCAGGAGGAGTGAAGACTCGACAGCAAACCTCAGTTCTGGGCCCAAGTTAAAACCAAAGGGCTTACACACGAAAAAAAAAAATGCAGGGTTGTTTCAACCCAAATTTGGGTCAAATATGGACTAACCCAGCCGTTGGGTTACATTTTAACCCAATGGTTGGTTTTTCCAAATTTGTTTCAACCCAAATGTGGGTCAAATATGGACTAACCCAGCCGTTTAGTTACATTTTCACCCAATGTTTAGGTTTTTCCATATTTTACCCAAATTTGGATCAAATATGGACTAACCCAGCCGTTTAGTTACATTTTAACCCAATGGTTGGTTTTTCCATATTTGTTTCAACCCAAATGTGGGTCAAATATGGACTAACCCAGCCGTTGGGTTAAATTTTAAACCAAAGGTTGGTTTTTCCATATTTGTTTCAACCCAAATGTGGGTCACATACGGACTCACCCAGCCGTTGGGTTACATTTTTAACCCAATGTTTAAGGTTTTTCAAATTTTACCAAAATTTGGATCAAATATGGACTAACCCAACCATTGGGTTACATTTTTAACCCAATGGTTGGTTTTTCCATATTTGTTTCAACCCAAATGTGGGTCAAATATGGACTAACCCAGCCGTTGGGTTACATTTTAACCCAATGGTTGGTTTTTCCATATTTGTTTCAACCCAAATGTGGGTCAAATATGGACTAACCCAGCCGTTGGGTTACATTTTAACCCAATGGTTGGTTTTTCCATATTTGTTTCAACCCAAATGTGGGTCAAATATGGACTAACCCAGCCGTTGGGTTACATTATAACGCAATTGTTTTTTGTTTTTTTTCATATTTGTTTCAACCCAAATGTGGTTAAAATATGGACTAACCCAGCCATTGGGTTACATTTTCTAACCCAATGTTTAGTTTTTTCCCACATTTGGGTTAAAACAACCCTGCATTTTTTTCGAGTGTAGCTTGTCTGTTACATCTCAGGAAAATGAAAGCTTTGAGAGACAAATGATATCTTCTTCCAGCCAACGGACTGTACTGTAATTGTGCTACGGGTGGAGTGAAACGAAAGATCATATCTAATAACATATTAGTTTTGTAAATATACGGAGGTATTAACTCGCTCTCATATTGTGCCTCCCCTCGTGTTCTCTGTATTTGTTTGGTTCGTATAAACTGAACTTCTCATGCAGTCGTCTGAACATCTTAGGACCAATGCAAGACATTTTTCTTAATGAATTTACATATTAAGTAAAATTATGTCTGTTTTTATGTGCACAACACAAAGTGTCTAACCATAAGTGTATGTAGTTGATAGTTAATTGACATATTTTTCATGGTGTAACTGTAAATCAAGTGTTTGGTGATTTCATTCTCCTGACGTAGGTTATTAAATTGCTCTGTAATAGATCTACTTCTGGTTTCATTCTGAATCAGAATTGTTCTGTCTGTTAATTCTGCTGTATTTATGATGTTATTATGCAAAGGTAAAATAAAGCCATTTACACAGACATTATTCTGCTTTTAAATATGTTGTGAAAGCTTTAACCTTGTTAATTGTGTTTGTTCTGATTTTCTTTAAAGTGTTAAAATGCTAATTTAGCCTGAATTTTATGTGCACAAATTTGAAACGTTCCCTCTAGATTCTAGAATAAATGGATAAATACAACTGAATTAAAAGCAAAAAACGCTTTAATCAGAATCCACTCATTCATCCTCTTGACATTTGCACATCACAAATATAGATATATTTTTTTTTTTACTGTAAAAATAAAGCATATTTAGTTTAGAATGGATGTGTTATTATTTGATTTGGTATAGATAGATGGAAATGAATGAGAAGCATCAATTTGTTTTGTATTTAATTAAAAGATACAGATGATAGTAGTAGGACCTGGAAAGTTTGTTATGAACTTCTTCCTACTCCTTTTTGAACATGGAAAAGTCTATTTGAATTACTTAAAAAATAGTTTTGGAAGATTGTGCTGAGAAGTACATGATTTTATATAGCCGTTATTTTAATTTTATATAGGTATGCTATGCAAGAAAATATAGATATTTTATTTTCTTACATGTTCAAATATATATAAATAAATATAAATATATATAGGGCCTACACTGTAAAAAATATTTTCAAGATTTGTTATTACAACATATTTTCTTTTGTCAAATCAACTTTATAATAATTTATTTAGTTGAGATAACTTACTATTTTGAGTTTCTGATTTTTGGTTAAATTAATCTACTTAATTGAATTAACTCACTTCTTCCAGTTCAATGAACTTAAAATTTTAAGGCAACCAGGTTACTTACTTTTTTAAGTTAAACCATCAATATTTTTTTTACAGTGTATATATTGAAGATATTTCTGATTAAAGTTCTCATCAGCGATGACATGGTTTAGGTGTGTGTGGGATTCTGAGATTGGGACTCCACAGATCCTCATGAACAGGATCCAGTAAACTTCACACCCTTCCCAGGACACACACACACACACACACACACTCCACAGAAATATAAAACCGAGAGGAGAGGAAGGGAGGATCGTCAATCTGCCGGAGTCACGTGTCACTGCTTCCTGGTCTCCACGCTGCTGGGGATGGACCAATCACAGTCGTGGGATTAATGGCTAAAAAATTGTACTTTTTGTAAGACATAAACTGATTTATATTTAAAAGGATAGTTCACTTTGAAATTAAATTTTTGAAATGTTTTGGCTTACCTCAAGGGCATCCAAAATTTAGGTGTCTTTGTTTCCACAGTATTTTCGATTTTGATATTTTTAGGTCAAACCGTTCTTGTCTGTTCTTGGTCACCTCCCTTTATTTCTCACAATTCTGACTTTATTTCTCTGACTTTATTTCTTGCTATTCAGAATATTTTTTTTTTTTGCTCGCTATTCTGAATTTTTCCTCACAATTCTGACTTTATTTATTTGATTTCATTTATTGCAATTCTGACTTTATTTCTCAAAATTCTGACTTTATTTCTCTGATTTTATTTCTCACAATTCTGAATTGATTTCTCTGACTTTATCTCTTACAATTTTGACTTTATTTCTTGCAATTCTGACCTTATCTCTTGCAATTCAGAATTTATTTTATCGCAATTCTAACTGTAGTTCTCTGACTTGATTTCTTGCAAATCTGATTTTTTTAGTTCTGCCTCAGGCGCCGGTGAGTTGGTGTTTTGGGCCTCCTCGCGCCCCCTACAGGAAGCCCACGCATGCGCAATCGACACATAAATATTCCAGCGATATTTTCCTCCCAACGCGGATCTCCAGCATCATCCCGTGTCTCAGCCAACCCGCAGTCAAGCTCTCAGTGTCGGCCACGTCCCCGGGCCACGTCGCGCTGCTCTCGCCATCTTTCAGTCGCGAAAACCGTGTTTATAACGCCGTTAGAGAGAACAACATCCGCACTTTAACGCGTTCCCTTCACACATCCCAACAGCCCACAGAAACATGAACATCTTCAGACTGACGGGGGATCTGTCCCATTTAGCAGCCATCATCATCCTCCTAATGAAGATCTGGAAAAGCAGGTCGTGTGCAGGTGAGAAATGATGCAGTCATTGTGTTTCTGAGAGTGTGTGTTATTCCCATCAGTGGAGTGTGTGTTCGGCTGAGCAGTTCCTAGACTGCAGCTGATCCGCTCATTAACTCCTGCACTAGGCCTCATTGTGTGAATTATTCCGAAGGATGGCAAGTGTTGGTGTATAATGACAGTAGTTGTGTTGTGTGTGTTTTTAATGCACGTTTGTGAGTTGCATCACTTAAAAGTTCGATCTAGCCGCTACAGTTTGGTTTGGCATATAAAACTAATGTTTTAAACAAACTGATTGTTATTGGAGTTTTGCACTCTATGTTATCAGACTGTAGATAAAGTTCATTCATTCATTCTGATTGCATTCTCTGACCCGTGACGTGGCAGCAGGATGTCATTAGAATATGATTAGTTTTCCATAACAGTCACCTAATGTTGTGCTGTGAGCTCACTGTGCATCTGTGCATTATGCGTGTTTATGACTGTGAAATGGGCTGTAAATTGTGTTGACATGCATGCATGTTGTTGTTGTTGTTGTTTGTGTTCAGGGATATCTGGGAAGAGTCAGGTTCTGTTTGCTCTGGTGTTCACCACTCGCTATCTGGACCTGCTCACGGCCTTCATCTCCCTCTACAACTCCTTCATGAAGGTGAGTTTGAGCATCCCTCCACTTAAAACATGCACGTGTGTTCATGTCTTTTTCTCATTCTTGTAATATATTGAGGTACAGTAGTGCTGTGCTGTAAGAGAAAGCTTGCTGAAAAATGAATGGAGGAAATCAGTTATAAGACAATCAGGGTTTGTTGACTCTAGGATATGGATATGGTTTACTCCACCCACAATTTATTATGCAATTAGTGTCATTTCTATTGCAGATGTCACTGAAAAATAATCTTGTCAAATGGTTTTGGACATGTCAGGCGTTATAGAATATCTGCTAGTAAAAAGACGCCGGGAACCCTCTGGTGTTCAATACAGACTGAAGATAATAAGATGAATTTTTTATATACCGTGTAATATATTATGCATGTTATATACTATATATATACACGTATATACACACATCATGATGCTAGACAATATTCACCTCAAAATTATGCATACTAATTTATAAATAAAATAATGAATATTAAAAAAAACTTTTAATAATTGGATTAAATTCAGTGTTTGACCCATGCTTTTTTGTTTAAAGGTGAAGACCCAACTTTATGTATCTTTTGTAAAATTCCCTTATCTGTCAAACATTTTTTATTAGATTGCAAGCAGAAGGCTCTTTTATGAAGTTACTTCTTTGAAGGACATATTTAATGAGATGAGATTATGCCTGAAAAGGTTCTGGATTTTTTTATCATATGTTAATTTAAAAAAAAATATGACTTCTTGTTTATATTTGTTTTGTTTTTGTTGTATTTATATGATATTTGTATTTTTGTAAATGAATTTTTGCCATGAAAATAGCGCTGAAATAAAATAATCTGAATCTGAAAATGTAGTGTTTAAGTTAAAAATAGAGCATCAAGTGTGTGTGTACAATAAATAAACATAAATAAATGCAAACCTGCCTTATATTCCCTACTTGCTTTTCAAACATAATTACCTAATTTTATGAGGTTTTCTGTTTTGACATTTTTTTTAGACATGATCAAAATCTTTTCTTCCTTTTTTAAACCGATTAGAAATACTTTTTGTTTTTGTATTTCTCACAATTTCTGAGCACAAAGATCACAGGTCTGACCAATGAACTCTTTCCAATCATGTCCGCAATTTTTTGTGTGTGTTCGTATTGCAAGTGCCACAAACGTCGTCACCCAGTTTTGTACCATTTCCAAAGGGTGTACAAAAATTGTATAATTCATATAACATGCAATTTTTCCTGTCTAAAATGCCCAAAGAGCTGTGGACTTTTCTTGTAACGATGTTTTGTTGCATGTTCCCCATGTAGATCATCTACATCGCATGTGCCTATGCCACGGTTTACCTGATATATGCCAAGTTCAAGGCCACGTATGATGGAAACCACGACACGTTCAGGGTGGAGTTCCTGGTGGTCCCAGTCGGAGGCCTGGCGTTCCTCGTCAACCATGACTTCTCTCCTCTGGAGGTGTGTGTGTGTGTGTGTGTGTGTGTGTGTGAGAGAGAGAACGACTTTATTCAACTCTTCATGTTCTTCTCTGTGGGCCTCGAGTGAGTTTGTGTTCTGTAACCGCGCAGCGCTTCTGTACGTCACACGCAGACTCACTATTGGCCGACGCTGGTCATGTGTGTGTGATGCTGGCCAATAGTGAGCCTACATTCTGATGTTACACTTTGCAAAGGCCCACAGAGAAGAACATGAACAGTTGAATATGAAAGACATTATTTTTGTTGTTTTTTGCGCACAGAAAGTATTCTCATCGCTTGAGAATCTCAAGGTTGAGCCGCTGTCGTCACTCGGACTATTTTAACGATGTCTTTAATAACTTTCTGGGCCGGCAAGTTTCAATTACAGAAGCCTATGGAGGAGTGATCCAGCTCTCAGATTTAATCACAAATATCTTAATTTGTGTTCTGAAGATGAACGAAAGTCTTACGGGGTTGAACAGAGATTAGATTTTTGGGTGAACTATCCCTTTAAATAAGTTCAGTTATGGTTCATTTCTGTTGTAAAAAAGTTATTGATTTAGTTAATTATATATATAGCCGCTCTGGAGAAAACCGTGATGTCATCGTCCAGCTCAGTTCAGTTCTCTTATAATGGTGTCAATGCATGCAGAGCAATATTATTGTTGAATGTTAAATTAAATATAGAATAGAAGAGAAAGTGTTAGTAGTATTACTGATCTCTTCGTTCTAGATCCTGTGGACTTTCTCCATCTATCTGGAGTCGGTGGCCATTCTTCCACAGCTGTTCATGATCAGTAAGACTGGAGAAGCCGAGACCATCACCACACACTACCTGTTCTTCCTCGGCCTGTACCGAGCCCTGTATCTCATCAACTGGATCTGGCGCTTCTACTTCGAAGGATTCTTCGACATGATCGCCATCGTCGCCGGCGTCGTCCAGACAATCCTCTACTGTGATTTCTTTTATTTATACGTAACAAAAGGTGAGTGTTTCCTTCATTCCTCATTTCCTCAGTTCAAAAAGGCTTTAGACGAGGTGTTTGTTTCACTTATTAGCGCAAATGGTTATGAATAGGGATGCACCGATATATGCATTTTTGCCGATAACCGATAATTCTTTATATATTTTAAAGCCGATAACCGATGTATTGGCTGATAAATTAAAATTTTTAAGAGCCTGATTACAAAAGTCTCCATGAAACCCATGTCCCAAGCTAGAGATGCACCAATATGAACATTTTGTCCAATACCGATAAATTTTTTTTTATTTGAAGGCCGATAAATTTACATTTTTAAGAGCCTGATTACAAAAGTCTCCATCAAACCCATGTCCCAAGCTAGAGATGCACCAATGTGAACATTTTGTCTAATACCGAGAACCGATAATTTTTTTTTTTATTTGAAAGCCGATAACCGATATATCGGCCGATAAATTAGCATTTTTAAGAGCCTGATTACAAAAGTCTCCATCAAACCCATGTCCCAAGCTAGAGATGCACCAATATGAACATTTTGTCCAATACCGATAACCGATAATTTTTTTTTATTTGAAAGCCGATAACCGATATATCGGCCGATAAATTTACATTTTTAAGAGCCTGATTACAAAAGTCTCCATTAAACCCATGTCCCAAGCTAGAGATGCACCAATATGAACATTTTGGCCGATACCGATAACCGATAATTTTTTTATTTGGAGCCCGATAACCGATATATTGGCCGATAAATTTCAATTTTTGAGAGCCTCATTCCAAAAAAAACCTCTCGTGTCCCAATTACACAATTATAATAATGTTCTCATTATAATTTTATGTAGCCGATATGACTATGTTGCTTATGTTTTTTTTTAAGTGATTCCAGTCTTATTTCAAGCTATTCAAAAGCATCATGTTGAACAGTACGCATCTGAAGCGTCTCAGCTGAAGGACATAATACATTATTCATTGGCGTTAATATATCTGACAAATTTTCTAATTGGGCCGATAACGCTAACATTGTAAATGAACATATATCCACCGATACTGCTATGGTTATCGGCCCGATGTTGCCGATTTATTAACGTGGATAAATAATGTATTATTTACGTCAGCTGAGAGACTTTTGTTTTTGTAATCAGGGTTTCAAAAATTATATTAAAAAATGTGGATTTAGATTTATTGGCCAATATATCAGTTATCGGCTTTCAGATATGAAGAGTTATCGGCTAAAATCTTCACATCGGTACTAAATCAATAGGTGCGTTTCCATTACATATTTGCGCAAAACATTTGCGATATTTTCCAAATGTCGATAAAAAACTATTGCGAAATGACGGTGTTTCCATTAACCGATGTTATGCGACTAAAACGTCTTTTTTTTTTCCTCTCGCGATAAGTCATTCCAAAAATCATGGCAACGGACTTTGGTAGGTTTAATTATTTCACAGCCATGCACCGCACTAGACATTATTATTATTATTAATGGAAGGAGACGTGGTGTCCAAATTTGGATTTAGATTTATTGGCCAATATATCGGTTATCGGCTTTCAGATATAAAGAGTTATCGGTTATCGGTATCGGCTAAAATATTAATATCGGTACTGAATCACTGTCTTGATGTTGCAGCTTTATGACTGAAAATAAAAAAGCCCATTGTGAAATGAATGTGGCAAAGTATTTGAAGTTTAGCAATGATCAGACATCACTGTCACACTAATCGGTACGGAAACACACATCTCAGGCTGCGGTTTCAGGAATTAAAGAAATAAAAAACCTACGTTATATTCCTTTATCCGTCACTGAATTTTTAATACTCAAGACCAATAGAATTTTAAGAGTAGAATGTTTTTAGAAAAGCTTTAGAAATAGAACTGCTACTTTTATACAAATAACCAACCATTTTGGGAACGAATACGTCACAATATTCCTCGTTAAAATAATAAAGTCGCAGAAAAAAGGGGCGGGGCCTGGTTGAGTTAGTTAGTAGTGTGTTAAACTGGTGGTTATGGTAAGAGGCGGGGCATTTCCCAAACACACTCAAAGCGCTCGACCAATCACAACACACTTCTGCAGTCGACCAATCAGAGAACAGTGTGCTTTTCAGGAGGAGGGGCTTCATAGAGACCGGAAGTAAACTGACAGAGAGGAGAATGGCGAATATGAGGAGAATAATCAACATTCAAGCAGGAAAACCTTAATAAATCTTGTTCTAATCTGATTGTTGGTCTCTCGTCAGTGTTGAAAGGAAAGAAGCTGAGTCTGCCAGCGTAAGGGTCTCGGACCGGAGCGAGACGCTGAGGACGAGTGAGACGAGTGAGATCCGTTCCTGGTCACATCAGGTGCTCTGGATTCAAGCCCAGGCCGTACCGTGGCTTTTTCGGATTCCTGTTTTATGCATCTTGTCTTACCCTTTTTTATTATTCTGTATAAAAGAAAGTTTTCTACATGAAACGTGTGCTATGATTCGACCGACGGCATCACAAAGAGCTGAAATCGCCTCATCAGGCAATGCTAACAGGCAGGGACTGATTCTTATGATGAATATTGATTTTGTTTGTAAGAGTATTTTCAATCTGATTAAATGTACATGTTTTCAAGAAGATTAAGGGAGTGTTTGTTGCTCCGTAGGATAAAATTGAATGGAAAAAATACTTGTTTTTGCTGGTTTTCTTCATGCAATAATCATTTGTGAAAGATGGTCTAGCGGTTCCTCAAACCGCTTGTCTAATTAGGTTAAAATAATACGATTTCAATGTTTGAAAGATGGAAAATTTCAAATTTATAGCTAAGAACAGCTCAACACATGGGAACCGCCACTGTCTGTCAGCGTACAGTATTGACACTGCCTTCATCACTGTAAATGGCTTCTTAAAGAACCAAAAAATAAACCGTACAAATGTTCTCAAAGATTATGCTGTTTATTTTTAGGATTTTTTTTTTCTTTTTTTCTGAAACTTCACTTACAGTTTGATTGCTCTGAGGGTTTTAATTTTTTGATTGGTGTAAAATGAATGGATAGGCCGAATATTAATCATTCATCACCTTTTCAGCAGAAAGTTTTGACCAGTGTTACTTTATTAATATCAAAATGTAAATTGGTGAGGTGTTAATTTTATTTCTAATCTCTACTATACTTAATGGAGAGAACCAAGCGCAGACAATTTAAAAAAAAAAATCAATAATAACCACTTTAATTTAAAACCAGAGGTGTTGGGTTTACTTTCAACTGAGCTTTTGCATGGTGCTACAGCCTCAAAATAAAGATTAAATTGGAAACACTGCTTGTTTTGAAAATTGAATGCCATTTTGTTTCGACTCATAAAGCCACGTATATTCAGCCTAATGTCAACCTTTTGAATATTGTCATGAGGCACTGTATTGATGTGAACAAATTGTTCTTTTGAATCGGATCGTTTGAATGAATCAGTTCAAGAATCAACCTGAACTCCATTTCCGGACGCGTCCGATTAATACCGAAAAGCGACGATTTGACTGAAGGGGCGGAAGCGGATAGTAAGTTATATTATTGCTGTAAATATTGCTAATATTTGTTTAATTATTAAAGATTTCAGATTATACAGCACATTGCTTTATTGTAACGCAATAAATCGCAGTTTTTGACGAGTCTTTCTAATACAGAACTACTTTACTGCCCGAAGTTACTTCATTTTTCCGTTCCGGACACATTTCGCTGCGACACAGAAAAGGGAAAACAAACCAGCAAACCCGCCCCGTTGTGCGGACAGATGTCAGTGAACGAGTCATTTATTACCATGTTGTAATATCAAGATTAAAGGCGGGCAGAGTCATGGGTTCTGTCATGATCACTGTCATACGTTTATGATCGCGACTGAAAGGCTGGTTTGAAGTTGTAAACCGCCAGGATGCCCGCAATGGTGGTGCTCGGACGCCGATGGCGGATCGCCAGCGATGATCTTGTGTTTCCAGGCGCCTTCGAGTTATTTATTAGGGCTGTGTGGTAAGAACCGCAGTTGAGTTAGCTTGCTTGGGATTTTCGGGAATTTTGTAACCCTGCACCACGGTACTGAACGATTGCCATATTCATATTCCATCACAGCTAGGAAAAATACGTTCTGAGATCGGTGTTGCTAACGTTTCCAGTACAAAAATAATAATTCTGAACGTTCGGAGCGTCCAGTTTTTAATAATCAATGTTCTCTAAACATTCTGAAACAAGAGGTATTTTTTTAAATAAAACGTGTCATGAATGTTGCATAAATATTATTTTTAGTTTACATGATATTAGTAAAATGATAACCTTAACGTATGTATAACTAAGTTATTAAAACATGACGTTTTTTTAACATTAAGAAAACATTCAAGTATAACATTTTCTGAATGCTTTGTGAGCAATATCAGATAACTACAATTACTAATAGGGCTTGGATTCGGAATCGATTCAGATGTCCTGATTCGAATCAATGAATCATTTTCCCTGATCCCACCACAAAAAAATAATTAAAAACAAGGTTTAACAGTCCTTGTATTGTTATTAATGTTACGACACAAAAAATACCAGTGAAATTTAGCAATGCGGTTTCGATTCCACGGCTAAAACTACGATCTAATATAAATGTAAAAGATTATTGAAGTCATTCATAAAAAAGAACAAATAATCAAAGTAGCCTGCAAGCAATAACACAAATAAATAAATACAATAAAACAAACATAGGCTAAATAAAAAATCAGATAGGTCCATCGGTAGTTTTTAGGAACAGGTATTTAATAAAATAATCAAATGTGAAATAACTGCATAGTCTGTATAAATTAAATATGGATTATGCCTTATTAAAGTTGGAAAAGTTAGGCTTTTATTTCTTTGTCATTTGTTGTTTGATTATCATTAATGACACAGACAGCAACAGGTTTATTAGGTTGCTGTCACTTTAAGACCGAAAACACGGATCCAATACAATGACACGCACGCGTTTCGAGAATTTTGTGTGAACTTGTCCGTTCAAGCGCAAGAAGATGTGAAGAAGACTAGTATTACGAGTAACGTCAATCAGATATTATATTCAGTGCTTATGGAAATATGGAAAAAATATCGATTCGTGGCTTTTTTTAAAAAATAACATTTTTTTTTTCCTAGCCGCAATTACTAACTATTAACATTATAATAACGATTTTTAATCAACCGTAACATTATCCAAAGTTCCCTGTTTGCTCGGATGGCTTTTAAAAACGAATCCCATTGTAAAAGTCTCTTAACTGCGAAGTTACTAAGATATTCATCTCTGTAGGCTCATAAACATGGCATTACCATATTAATTATCCAATGTTCCATGGTAAAATAAGGTAGAGCCTGTTTTTTGTTTTTGAAAGCTCTCTTGTCTCTTAGGTGGGTCGTGACCTTAGTTGTGTACATTAACCATAAGGGACGATTTGACTGTCAAGGTGGAGCGTATTTGCATAATTACCTTGTAGTTCTTCTTGTGCTTTTGGCTGCCATCATCTTCACATTATGTGCAGTTGTTTACGTCAGTGCTCAAGGTACGTGTCTCTCCCGGACCCGATGCATGATGGGATTTCCTCGTGTGTGTGTGTGTAATGATGCAATGTAATTCTGGCGTGATTGGTCTTAGGAACCATAATGAACCCGGGCCCCCGGCGCTCGATGCCGGCCCTGGTGTATCTGCGTGCGGTTCTGTACGTCCCTGAGCTGGTGTGGGCCGTCCTGGGGGCCGTCTGGGTGTCGGATAACAGCACGGGGTGCAAGCCGGAGGAGGTCGGGGCGGTGATCGGGGCGGTGGTTTCCAGGTCAGGAAAACATATTTAACAATATTCCTTTTCCAAAAATGCAAAAAGGATCATAAGTGACAGTAAAGACATGTACAAATGTCATGTTTCATGTTCTTTTGAACTTTCTGTTCATTAAAGAATGTATAAACTGTTTTTAAATGTTTCTTGAGCATCAGATCCTCATATTACAGTGATTTGTGAAGGATCATGTGACACAGAAGACTGGAAAATCAGCTTTGATCTCAGGAATAAATTACACTTTACTAGATATTCCCATAGAAAACAACTGTTTTAGTTCGTAAAAATATTTCACAATTTTTACAGTATTTTTTAAGCCTTGGAACAGTAATGTATGCTTACAAAATGACTTGAATTGTGTTTCCAACTCGTTCTTGCCTCTGTAGCATATATGCTAATTTTGATTAAAGATAAATATAAGGACACAAAAGAAAGCACACAATAGTTTTAGATAAGGTATGGTGTATTATTGTGTTACAATCACTGATCTATATAGATTGTCATTATAGATCTGTGGTTACAATCATATTTTCTATCTGTGATTTAAATCAAAATAACTCTCATAATCATCATTATTCTTTTAGAATTAAAGGAGTAGTTCATTTTTAAAAAACTTTTGCTGATAATTGACTCGCCCCCGTGTCATCCAAGATGTCCATGTCTTTCTTTCTTCAGTCGAAAAGAAATTAAGGTTTTTGATGAAAACATTCCAGGATTTTCTCCATATAATGGACTTCAATGGGGACCAAACGGTTCAAGGTCCAAATGAGAGTTTCAGTGCAAACTACAAACTGTTCAAAGGGCTTTAAACGACACCAGACGATGAATAAGGGTCTTATCAAGCGAAACGAGCACTCATTTAATAAATAAATAACAAAGTTTAAGTTTTATAAGCTCAAATGCTCGCCTTGCTCTGTTCTGTGATTCGCGTTCGAGACTCTCCTGTTCGAACTCGTTCATCAAAATGAATTAATCTTTTTTTCCGAGTCAATTCGTTCAGTTCGTTCATTGAATGAACCAAATGACTCTAAAAAAGATCAGTTCATTTTGATGACAGAGTTCGAACAGGAGAGTCACACAGAACAGAGCAAGGTGACCATTTAAGCTTATAAAACTTAAACTTTGTTATTTATTTATTAAATGAGCGATCGTTTCGCTTGATAAGACCCTTATTCATCGTCTGGAATCGTTTAAAGCCCTTTGAACAGTTTGTAGTTTGCACTGAAACTGTCTTTTGAACCTTGAACCGTTTGGACCCCATTGAAGTCCATTATATGGAGAAAATCCTGGAATGTTTTCATCAAAAAACCTTAATTTCTTTTCGACTGAGGAAAGAAAGACATGGACATCTTGGATGACATGGGGGCGAGTAAATCATCAGCAAAAGTTTTTTAAAAGTGAACTACTCCTTTAACTCTTTTTTTTAAAGTTATATTCTGTTGTGTTTAAAGGGGATGATCTTAAAACACCAACACTGTTATCTAGGTTTCGTAAAGTATAAGAAACGCCTCCATTGTAGTCTTGAGTTTTCTCAACAACACGTCACAATATTCCTCATTATAATAATTCATGCGCAGAATAAAGGGGCGGGGCCTGGTTGAGTTAGTTTATAGTGTGTTAAACTGGCGGTTATGGTAATTAGGGGCGGGACATTTCCCAAACACACTCGAAGCGCTCGACTAGTCACAACACACTGCTCAGGCCGACCAATCAGAGCACAGTGTGCTTTTCAGAAGGAGGGGCTTCATAGAGACAGGAAGTAAACAGAGCGTTACTGACAGACTGGGAAGAGAGGAGCCGCAACAATGTCAGATAATGTGTTTTTTAAACATTCAACTCAATCAATATGTCCTCTTTAATGCCCCCGCGCTTCACTGTCTCTGTTGGCGTCCTCAGCTGGATCATCCTTCTGTCGATGGCTGTGGGAGTGCTGGTCGTGTTCGACCCTCTGGGGAGCCAGCGCTCGGGGGTTTCTCTGGACGCTCAGTCCGCCGTGAGGGATCTGGATCTGGAGGGCAGCGAGTCGTCTCAGCTCTTCTACACCGCACACACACTGGCCTCGCGTGTGTGGGAGAGCCGTCTGCGTCTCCTCTGCTTCTGTCTGCCTCAGGACGACAACCATCGAG